ATTAACCTGTGATGGAACCAGCCTGGCCTTAAAACATTACAGAATCAAGAATTAGAGGGGAAAGAATTCTCCTGAATGATGAGCCTTCCTAATATATTTGACTATTTACAAATCATTTCTTAGTTTTCAACCATAAATTATAAAAATAAAATGACTGAAATAACTGCTATTTGAGAAACATCGGAAAATAACTTGAAACTTATGAAATATTAGATTCATAAAATTTATTTTCATTTATAGAGGTTTTGACTGTACTATAAAAATATCATTAGACACCTCTTTGCCCCTTTGATTCCATCAGATCAGGGCACACACAGTTTATTGTAACAGAACTCAGAAAACTTTGACTCAACAATGAGAGAGACTGAATTCAGAAGTCTCCCCCTTTTCCTTTTCCTGCCCTTTGCTGGAAGTTTTCCTTGAAGCTAGAGTAGGAAACAAAGGGAATCCAGGGTGCAGCCCCTCAGCTTCCTCTGTAAGCAGAAGCACACCACAGAAGGAGGGGTCAGTTGGAATCAGTTTGGATCTTGATTAGAATTGCACTAACATTTATAACAGTTTTTTTAAAGGAGTTAAAATTTCTTTACAGTTTATGTGAATTAATATTCAATATTCCGGGCCTCTCCTGTGGCACAGCGGTTGAGCACTGGATTGCGAAGCTGCCTGCAGCCTCTGCAGCGCTGGTTCGATGCCCGGGGTTCGATCCCCGGCCACCAGGCGAGGGTCCCACATGGCGCGCAGACCTCCCCTGCCGCCCGCTGCTCCCCTCAGCAGTGTACTCGGTCAGTCTGCCTGCTCTGCCCTCCACTCTGGCTCTGGTGAATTCTCTCACCCTCCCGCGCTTCTGACTATACCCAGTGCTTGTATAAATAAATAAGTAAATCTTAAAAAAAAAAAAATCAACATTCCTCCTCTAAGTTCTAGTGAGTTCTCTTAATTGTAAAAATAAAACAATGCATATATAGCATATGAAATTTGTATTAACAGATGTGTACTGTAATTTGCATGTTCCATATACATATTTAAAGTCATACATTTTATATTCTTCGGTTGTTTAGATCTACCACAATTTACTCAATCATTCCTCAGCCATAAGTCTATTTTGGACTGTTATAAATAACTACGTACATTTTTGCTTAATTGTGTAATCATTTCTTAGAATAAATTTCTAGGCATAGATCCTTAGGGTCATATTTAAAGCTTTGAGTCCATATGCTAAAGACCCTCCAGAAGGACCCTCTAGAATGATGGTACGACTTCTGCTGAGTAGTTTAAGGGTATCTTGTAGCACTCTAACCCCCCTCCATATCTGATTTTATCTTTATGATACATCTTTTTCAGTTATTTCCTTTCTTTTTCTGTTATCTGTCAATTCTAGGGCCATGACTATACAATTTGGGTGTCAATTTTATGAAATGTTTTACTGCTTGGCAGGGTAAATCCACACACACACGACACACACACACCATTATTCTCCCAAAAATTCCTGTTATTCTCATGTATTTTCAAATGAATTTATAGCGTTTGGAAGTTGTAGAAATAATTCCTTTGGCGTTTTCTTGGGCTTGCTTTAAAATCATAGGTTAACTTAGTTAAAATGTCACTGTAACTAAAAATTTTGAGTCTTATTATTCCGGAACATAATGTATCTTTCCACTTACTCTTTTCTCATTTTATATTTTTAAATAAAGTGTTTTTTTTTTTTTCAATAGCTATTACATTCACATGTGTTTTTATTCGTTAACTTTTAGAACAGTGTACTTTCCCTGGCTTATAACTTTGATTGCATCTCCTAAAGTTTAGGTTTTTAGCATTTGTATTCTCATTTTCAAAGTTTCAAAGTATAGTTTGATAGACAGTATTTTTTTATTTCCATTTTCCTTGTCTTATGCGGCATTATTAATTTCTTGCTTAATTTTCTTGTCACCCGAGAATGACAAGAATTGTCAAAGTTCTTCTTTATTTATCTACTTTATATGTAGTTGGGAGTGAGAAATTTTTATTTTTCCCCAGATAAATCTTTTTTTCTCAAATGTTTAATTTTTCCATGTTACTGCTTTCTTGTTTGTTTGTTTGTTTAGGTTCACATTTATTGCAAGAAGTCCATATTCAGAATTCAGAGTTAAAATTACTGTGACTTTGTCATAGATTTTGTTAAGAACTGGTCCATATCTTTTATTCTGGGCAATGGCTACAGAAGTTTTACGTTTCACGTTTGCCTGAATTGGAACACAAGTGTCTGTCAGGGAAATGCCTATGAAAGAATGTAATCCTTGATGCAGCAGGGAAATGCTGGAATTTTGAAAAGGCTCACTTTCTGTATTTACTAAAGCACTTTGAAATTTGAGCAGGTGCTGCCCACCTTGCATACCTGGCACAACTGCCTTGGAGGTGTACTACTGCAGTACCAGCGTGCCTGCTTCCCTTCCAAGCTGTGTACAAGTGATAGTGGACTGGGTATTCAAGGTCATGTGCCAATGGGGGCCACAGTCTGTGTTCCTTGCATGAAGGTCTCCCTTTAAGTCCTCACCTCCAGCTCATGTTACCTGAGCGATGGGTGTTTTGGCATTCAGGTGTCTGCTCAAACAGCTACCCAGGAGAGCTTGTTCTTTTTTTTTTTTTAATAAAAAAAAAGGTTTATTTTTGCATACAAGAACTGGGGTACGGGCCAGAGGTGTGGGAGTGAGAGATTCACCAGAGACAGAGTGGGAAAACAGAACAGGCAGATTGACTGAAATACACTGGTGAGGGAAGCAGCATGTAAGTCAGGAGAGGTCTGCTGCGCCATGTGGGTAGCAACCTGGCCGGGAGATCGAAATCGTGCTGCAGTGGCTGCGGATTGCCTCATAGGTTTCATCTTAACCCCTTGTGCCACCAAGGAGAGCTTGTTCTTACAGTGAGTTGAATCACAGCCCTCACTGGGGTCCTGTTTCTATCATTTTCCAGAAATTTTAATCGTAAATTTGAGGTGTATTTAATGTTTCTAATATAGAGTAAGTGTGTTTTCCTCCTAATATGACACTGGTGATTTCTGAGTGGAGATTAGTAGGGAGAAGAACTTGATGCCACTCTCCATCACATTTTCCTTGTAGTCCTCCAGCCAGTCATTGCTTCCAGTAGTGGCTGGAGGGGTACGCCTGGGGCAGATTACTTCTCAAGTTATTTCCACCAGATCCAGGCCACAGATGGAAGAAAGACGTTTTGATCTCATCAGTTCTGTGTGTTTAATGTAATTTTCCTTACGTGCCTAGTTTTTATTTATTTTATTTATTTATTTATTTATTTATTTATTTATTTATTTATTTATTTATTTGCTGAAGAACTGGGGTAGGCCAAAGGTGCGGCCAGTGACAGAGTGGTGAGTAGAACAGATAGATCTACTGAACCACACTGCTCAGGGGAGCAGCGGGTGAGACAGCAGAGGTCTGTTGCACCATATGTGGGTTAGCTCCCTGGTCAGAATGAAACTCAGGCTCTTGTGGTGATAATGCTGAGACTTAACCCCTATGCCACCAGAGAGGCCCAAGTACCTAGCTTTAGTGTAGTGTGACATTGTATAGCAAGAGCTATGTTCTCAAGCTTTCTCCTTCCTGAATTTAAGCCTATCCTGTCATAAAATACTAAACACATTCCATGACCTCCTTGCCTCTATTCTCTATATGATGGCTGAGAGAGAGGCTGAATTACAGACAGAGGACATACCTAAAGGTCTTTAATTGGGGACAAGTCAAGCTGGTGGTAGTGATTTCTTACTTACCACCTGAGCTGGAGAGGACAAAATGGGTTAGAAGGTTGTTGAAAGTATAGATTATTTCCAGTATCTATCTAATGGAAGACAGAACTTCATATGTTCAGTAAAAGCCCTTTTCTTCTTTGCAATTGATGATGTGAGGTTACCTTGCTTCTGGGAAATCGAGAACTTCAGTCATACGGCATTTTAAAAGGACCATACTAGGCTGACTAGTGAAGATGGACACACTTAATTTTAGGATGTTTTTTCTTTATTGTTTTAACTGTAGGAGCCTCAGCTATTAAGAAAGCTACATGAAGAAATTTAAATAAAATGTGAATTCTCTTTCCCCTATTATTTTCCTGTTTTGGGGTGGGAAAGAAAGCAAAATATGCTAAGGTCGACTTAAATTGACTTAAATTGACTCTAAGATTCTGTTCAGAGTAAGGTCTTTCATTAACATTTGCTTTTAAAAGGTAAATATAATGATTCATGTCTAAAGTCACATATTTTAAATTTCAAATGAATTATATATTATATATATGAAGTTACAGTGTATAGATACTTTTGCTAAAGGATTTAAATTGACTATATTAAGAAAAAATATTTTATTGTATCCTTAATAATGCATGAATTAATAGTACTACATCTTGACCAGTTATATATTTAGTCATAAAATTTTCCAGCAGATTTTTCATTATAGATTCTTCCCTTTAGAATAAAGATGATAGCCATTATGAGGTTTTTAAAGGTGTTTAATCCTAAAGCAAATTTCTGTTACTTTCTGACATGAATTTCTGTTCAGGTGTCTTTGTTAACTTACTTTTCTCAGGTTAAATGAAAAGCAGAATTTTTTTCCAATGATTGCATTTAATCCGTGACTAACATGTTATTTTCAGGGAAAAAATTAGAAGGTTTGAGTTCCTGATTTAAAAAATTAATTAATTCCTAGCAATCATTCCAGGAACTCTCTGTGATACTCATCACTGGCCAATGGAGCTTCTTTTCCACAAAATTTGGTATTTTGGTGCCATCTTGTGGCTAGTCTTTGTAAGAACATCAATACGCAAATACATTTTAAGCAGTGCCCTAGATAGGATAAGATGTAGTGGAAATGCTTTCCAAAATGCAAATTTAATACTACTGTAAGTCTACATAAAAGATTGAGAATAGCTTGTATGTCATTTGGTCAGTTAACGGGCAAAAATAGTAAATAAGAAATCTAATGTATGCTTCTCTTTCTAAAATTTTTTATGATCTTTATCCCTAGTTGCTGCTGTTTGAACGGTCTTGGATGAGCAGATGGAAGTCTTCTGTTCTGCATGAAGGGGAAGGGAACATTAGGAGTGTGAAGTGGAGAGGCCATCTGATTGCTTGGGCCAATAACATGGTAAAAAACTTCCATTTTCCTAGCGGTTTTTCAGAGCCAGAAGAGTGGTTGAACTGAGTGGACTGTAGCAAAGGGAGAGATGCAACCCACTGTGGTGGTCATTTCTGAAAGATACAAATGGCGATTAATATACCTGTAAGCTTAAAGAAATTAGATTTCCTTTGGCTTTCATATAAGAGTAATTCCCAACTTATTCTAGACTCTATCTTAGAGAAAGAAACCTGAGGCATGGAGAATAGCCAAGAAAATGAAAAGGCATCTTAATAATTGAAGGGCTGCATTGGGAATGTGGTCTTGAAAATACCATTTGCCTATTAGCCGGAGGCAAGTAACAGTTGATATTGAAACAAGTACAGGATATTGCTGATTTCTCTTTTTACTCCCAGTATAATCACAGGCAAAAATAGGCTTGCTTTTTAAAAAGTGGATCGTAATTTTTGATGCTGCACTTATTTAAAGTTGACTTAATATGACTTAGGGTGAGTAGAAAGTCTAAAAAATGTTTTTTTTGACATCAGGTATATCTTTTTGGAATTTCAAGGTATAATGTAGTAAGTTAGTTCTATTCAGCTTTACGTGATAGAAATCTCCCCAAAATTACCTTACTTTTCAGGATTTTTCTTCCTTCTCTTGGCTTACAATAATGGTAAATAAACCTGTGGCCTCTGGTTTATTTATAGTTAGCGGCTGCTTGAAGTTTCCATTTGAGTACTTTAAAATGTCAGGTGTAGTTTTCTTTACATAGTGGTTTTTCAGATTCAGAGCATTTCTAAAAAGCAAACTTCTTTTATGTGATGGAACAATACAATTAGAAATGTTACTTGTCTGTCACTCTGGAAACGTGGCTCTTGATAGCAGTACCTTTTATTTTGTGTTAGATATGAGTCTTCCACTAAAAAAATGTCTTTTGCGCAAAAAGGAGGATGGGGGTTTTCTTTTGTTTTGGGTTCTCAGGGGGTTTGTGTGAAGTAGAGCATTTTCCTGCACATGATTTTGCAGTGCTGGTTTTCAGTAATGGGTAGCAGAGACTCTTAATAAATTTTCCTTTACTTTCCTTCTCCCAAGTAGAGGATGCTTAATGCTATTTTATTTTCCAGGGTGTAAAGATTTTTGACATCACCTCAAAGCAAAGAATCACCAATGTGCCCCGAGATGATATAAGTCTTCGCCCAGATATGTATCCCTGCAGTCTCTGCTGGAAGGACAATGTGACACTGATTATTGGCTGGGGGACTTCTGTCAAGGTGGTTTTGCTTGTCTTTTTAATGAGTCCATGTCATTATAGATCCGCTGAGGATAGTCTGGAGAATATGAGTTCTTGAATGGCTTCTCAGAATCAAAATGTTTTGACCTGAATAGTGTTGTCCACCTAATGCTCAAATCCCTTCATATGCATATGTTTTGAAGATCCATTCTTCTCCAAGTCACGAAACAAATCATGCCCTTCTCTGCATTCACGGTGCTTTTTTTTGATCTTTGAATTCCCATAACCCAGTTGACCTTGGCTATTTATAGAACATGTGGTTAGTTTTATTGGTTAGTCAGGCTTTTTTTCTTTATTGTTCTTTCTATTCCCTTAGCTTTGACCAATAACTTCTTCATTAGAACTGATGGTGGAAAGAAAAAAAAAGGCTAAAATTAAAACATCCTGCATGCATGGTATTAGTTTGACAGAGTACAGGCCCAGACTTACTGATAATAAGATGTGGGAATATTTTGTGGCATATAATTATCTGCCCTTTTTGTGCTCCAGTATATGAAATTTAGCTGTTCTACACAAGGGGACCCAAAGGTCATTCATACTCATTTCATACTTACCACTGCCTATCTTGTTTTAGATACTTCAGAGCCAAAAGTTGTTTCCCTTTAAAAATAATGCAGCTTAATCTAAACAAAAAAATCCTAAAAACAAGCTAAGTCAAAATAGTTTGAGGAAGTATCCCAGCAATAGTCTAATGGAAGAAGTCTGGCGGACCTGGCATCAACTGTAACTTTGCGTTGTTATCGTGTGACCTTCTGTGATCCTTGCTCTACTTATCTAAAAAATGGTAGTATTAACTGTTCTTAGACCATAAATTTTAGGAGAATTAAATGAGGTAATGCTTATGAAGAGCTTAGCATAGCATCTGACATATTATAAGTGCCTACTAAATATCAGCTGTAATTTTATGCCATAAGATTCTGGGAAAGTCATGAAAGAGGCGTGGCTATTTAAAATGTACTCCTGTTTAGACAAGGAAAGCATAAAAGTCATTAATGCAATGATTGTTACTAATATACCAAGCATTGTATACTTTTGTGTACTTGAGATAAGGTCCACTGAGCATTTACATTGATATGATTCAGGTTCTTTTTCCCCATTTTTTAATTAAGCATAAGACAGTTATTTGCATGTGTTAAATGAACACTGGCCTAGGGGATAAGTTTCAGTGCTATCACCGCTAAGGCTTAAGTTCAACCTGTCTCACCCATTGCTCCCCTCAGCAATGTATTTCAGTAAATCCGCCTGTTCTGCTCCCCACTCTGTCTCTGGCGACTCCTCTTACTCCCCTCCCACACACACACACACACATCTTTGGCCTACGCACCAGTTCTTCTACGTAAAAACATAACATAAATTTTAAAAAATGAACACAATTTGTTCACAATGACGGTAGTAGGAAGTTGTGCTCGCTGAGGTCACAAACAGTGACTCTAGGGCCTCCCCGGTGGCGCAGCGGTAGAGCGCTGGGTTGCGAAGCTGCCCGAAGCCTCTGCGGCGCTGGTTCGATCCCCGGCTGCTCCCCGGCCACCACCGGAGGAGGGTCCCACATGGCGCGCAGACCTCTCCTGCCGCCCGCTGCTCCCCTCAGCAGTGTACTTCGGTCCTTCTGCCTGCTCTGCTCCCCGCTCTGGCTCTGGTGAATTCTCTCACCCTCCCGCGCTTCTGACTGTACCCAGTGCATGTATAAACAAAACAAACAAACAAACAAATAAATAAATAAAAACATGCCTCTTTTAAAAAAAAAAAAAAAAAACAGTGACTCTATCATATCCCTCTCCCTTGTGTGTTGTTACTCAGCCAGTAAACCTACATTCTTGATATTTTTTTAAATTTCTTAAATGGACTGGTAGCTTTTTTCTTTGTTTTAAAGTTGTGATTTTTTTTTTTCTTTTGGTGAAAAATAGGGAAAATTTGCCTCTAGGGATCCATAAGAAGCTCACTGATTGCTACCTGGAATACTTTTCTCTAATTAACTGAATAATGTCCTCCAAACATTGCAGGTCCTAATTTCAGCAACCTGTAATTAACCATGTTGAGATGAAGAGATTATTCTGCATTACCTGGATGGGCTCTGGCCCCCTGCATTCATATAGGGGGAGCGCTGCCACATGTGAGGGGCAGGCAGGGGGACAAGGGAAGCAGCAGTTGGAGAGGTGTGGCCAGGGAATGCCGAGCCACAGCTCGAGGAAGCAAGGAAGACAGTCAGCCCTGGAACAGTGCAGCCCTCCAGCACTGGCACTTAGGCCCAGTGAAACTGACTTCAAACTTATCACCTGCTGAGTAATGAGAAAATAAATTTCTACTTTTTTATATCACCAAATTTGTGGTATAAATTTGATTGTTACAGCAATCACAAGAAACTAATACACATTCAGTGTGCTCAAATTATGATCCAGTTCACAAAATGTTTCATGTTAAATGTTTCATTTCATTGGGGTTACCTCTTCAAATTCAGTCAGCGATATGTTGAACACATACCTGATAAAAAATTTCCTGTGTTCTGTTAAGGCCAGGAGACAAGACAATCTCTCAGGTGGAAAGCAATCTTGTTGGAGTTAATCTACGCCAGACTGTAGCAAAGTGTGCAGTTAGAGCTAGCCATTTAATTTATTTGTTTATTTACCTGAAAAATACCTAGCTGAGTCCCTGCAGTATGCCAGGCAGTGTTCTAGTGTTGCAGACACATAAATAACCCAATGAATCCTCTCCTTTGGTAAATTTAAATTTTAGTGAGGGAAGAGGGCAAATATCAAACATATAAGTAAACCTAGCATGTGGATGGTCATAAATACCACCGGAAACTGCTCAAAAGGAGAAAGTTAAAACGGGGGAAGACGGGAGGGTAGACACCACCTAATAGGGAGGCATCTCTGAATGGAGGAAGTCATGCAGCTGTGGAGGAGGGGTATCAGCAGAGACCAGCCAGTGTGAGATCCCTGAGTCAGGAGTTGATTGTTGTGTCTTTGCGAAATGTGAAGGAAGCCAGCATCGCTGAGAAGATGGAACAGGTACGGAGGAGAGGGAGAGAAGATGGAGGAGGGGAGTATACTGGAGTGAAACAGATCATGTGGGGCCTCATAGACATTGTGAAACTTTGACTTTTCATTTGATTAGGATGGGAAGCCAGCAGAGGGTTTTGTTCAGCTTGGATTTCCAAATGATGACTCTGATTGCTGTGTGCAGCTAAACAGCAATTGGACAGTATAAAAAGGAGACTGGGTAGGAAGCTACTTCAGTAAAAAAAAATATATATATATAATAAAATAATTTTCGATCAGCCTAGTGAAGCTAGTAAGAAATCATTGCATTCTGATATATTTTGAGGGTTGACCTGTTGTTGTTTGTTGATGGTTTAATGGAGAGTGTAAGAAAAAGAGAGAAGTCAGTGGTGACTTTTTTTACCCAAGGAACTGGAAAATGAAGCTACAGTGACTGAGATGGGAGAGACAGCTGACGGATCATGAATCATGTTTAGAGGGTAAAAAATCAGAAGTTGTTTTTGTCTGTGTCCACTGGAGATGCCGTGTTATCAGACACATAAGTGGAGAGGCAAAGGGGACAGTTGGATGAAGCAAATTAGTGCTCATGGATGAGAAACTACCTATCAATGTAAAGAGCTCTTGAAAGCATTGATCTGCTCTTCTGCAGGATGCGAGCTTAAGGTTGCATTTGCTACTCACCCACCTGCACCTGATGTTCTGACTGTGAGAGAGGGCAGTGGGTGCAAGCTCAGGCCACAGGGCCAGGGACATGGGGCTGAGCTACTGCCAGCCTCCAGCAGTGCCGGGGTCCTGGTCCTCAGAGAGGCAGTAGCATAGCCAGGGAGATACAGTCAGGCCTCACTTTTAGTTCTGGCTCTAGCTGTGTGGCTTGATTCACTCTTGCAGCCTCAGTGCTCTCGTCTCTGTGGGTCAGGGCTGATAACATCACCTCTCAGACAGGTATGAGGATTAGAAAAGGCCTGGTCAGTCCCCAAGTTCTGTCACTATGTCAGATCCCTCCACTTCTCTTCCTCCTGCCAAGTTTCCTCAGCTCTGACTTTGCCTGCCTTAATTCTGTCCTAAAACAGACAGTTCTTTTTTTTTTTTCTTCAGATTTTTTTTTTTATTAAATAATAAATTTTATTTTTATATTCCCCCATACAACTGCACATGCCCCATTCTGACCCCAATCCCTCCCCTCCCGGCCCCCACCCGCCAAAAAGTGTCTCTGGTTCATAGTTTTTTGTTGATTTTGATTTTCACTTTCTTATAGTTATTCATTTTCCTGATCCCTTATTTAAGTTTTCTAGATTCCTGCTATGAGTGAGACCATCCAGTATTTTTCTTTTTCTTTTTGGCTTATTTCGCTGAGCATGATCCCTTCCAGCGCCATCCATGTTGCTGCAAATTGCATGTGTTTATCTTTTTTGAATGCTGAGTAATATTCCATGGTGTATATGTACCACATCTTCTTGATCCAGTCATCTATTTTTGGGCATTTGGGCTGTTTCCAAAGCTTAGCTATTGTAAATAGTGCTGCTATAAACATAGGGGTGCAGGTGTTCTTTGGAATTGATGTTTCTGTGTCCTTTGGGTAAATACCTAGGAGTGGAATTGCTGGATCATATGGAAGCTCTATGTTTAGTAGGTCCAGAAATCTCCACACAGCTCTCCATAGTGGTTGGACCAGTTTGCATTCCCACCAACAGTGCAGGAGAGTTCCTTTTTCTCCACAACCTCGCCAACATTTGTTGTTGCTAGTTTTTTTAATATGTGCCATTCTCACTGGTGTAAGATGGTATCTCATGGTAGTTTTGATTTGCATTTCCCTGATGACAAGTGATGTTGAACATTTTTTCATATGAAAACAGACAGTTCTTTCTAAAGTGCAGATCAGATAATGCTAATCTCCTTTTAAGTCCCTCAAGGGATGCTCATTGCTTACAGGATGCCAGCCTCATCCTTCACAAGGCTCCCAGGCTTCTGCAGATCAAGCACCCGAACTCTTCCACTCTGCCCCCACCTTCCCTCCTCTGTCCCTCTAGTTCACCTTCCAGGTGAAGGCCCTGGACTGTCAAGTTGGCCTTTTGCACTTGTGCTTCATCTCCTTCTTCACCTTACGTGCCACTTCTTCCAGGAAACCTTCCTGTCCTGCCAGGTGATCCCTCTAAACTGCTCTAAACTGTGCTTCTACATCACACTGTAGCAAAACATTTTAGTTAATTGGGTATCTCCTGCACTATAATCCTCCTAAGAAAAGAATTCTCTCTGTTACAAAGCCCCTAACTCACAACTGTTGCCAGTTGTTGGTCACTAGTGCTAGTTAATATTGCCATTACATATATATGTGTATACTTATATACATATAACTTTATGTAGTGTATATGTATGTATTTCAAACCATTGGGAGCACTAGTCTTTATATACTTTTATCAGCACATTAACACAGCCATTCATTCACCATTGTGGAGCTTGCCTTTTAGAGAATTTAGTCATTTCCCTAGTAAGTGTGGCTGGAAAAGTAGATAGTAAATATGATCAAAAATCTACCAAGAGAGTAAGGAAATTGAGGCGCAATGGAGGAGACGGGAAATTGACTGAGATGGACAGAAGGCAAATGACAAAAAGTAATCAAGGGAGAAAATAGTCATTTCTAGGTAAATGCTTAAACCTCCACAGCCACCGATTCAAGTCCAGTGGCTCACGTTTCACTGTGTTGCTGGACTTCAGTGTGGACATGTGTATTAAACAAACAATACTAAACCTGTGAAAGTATACGTACACATTGATATTTCATTTCTACTTCTGGAAATTTAAGAAAACAAAAGTCCAGAAGTATTACATACAAATATTTTGATTGCACTACTGCATTCATTAGAAATCAGAATACAAGCAAATTGGAAATAGAAGCAAAACAATAATGTCTAAAGGGGAACTGATTAAAGAAATGATAGTAGATTCACGTAATGAAATATTGCAAGTATATTAGAGAATTATATTGATAAGAATATGCAGATAATACTTGAATTATTTGTAGCAAATTATTAGGTTTAAAAAATGGATTGCTAGTTACATTTATTTAATTCTGAGAATATATTCATTTTAGAAAATAGAACAAAGAAAATAGGAACTATTAACATCTTATCACCTTGAAATCACCTTGGTGTTATGTGTAAGTGGTAGATAAATATGTATGATTATGTATGTTTATATGTTTCTATCCAAGCTGTGTACATAAATGTTAAAATAAGATTTGACAAACTTTCTCTGTAAAGAAAGGGCTGGCAGTAAATGGTTTAGACTTTTCATACTATGTATTGTTTCTAATGAATATTTTTCTCTTTTTATTTCTGCTTTTATTTTTTCTCCCTTCCCTTCTACCTCAAGCCCTCCATTCCTTTCTTCCTTCTTTACTTTCAAGCCTTTAAAAATGTAAAAACTGTAGCTTACAGGCATTAAAAAAAGGAGGCCAGGGATTGGGCTGCAGTGTGCCAACACTAATATAGTACATTGATTTTATTATACTTGAGAGAAGATAAGCATGTGCCACTTTTGCAAAGTATTATTTAGAAACAGTGAAATAAATTACTAATATGTAATCAGAAATGCAAAACCTAATGTGGATGTTGCTCATATTAGCCATTGGAATTTTGGGTTATGTACGCCCGCCACAGCTTTATTTGGGTGATGATAGAAGTAATCCTTGAGTAGCATTGCTGGGAATGGGTTTTTGGGAACATGTTACAACTGTGTTACAGTTCCTTTCTTTCTTTGCCCTTGAAAGATAATGTTGGAGAACATAAATAATAGTTGATGTGCATCATTGAAATTAATTTCTATCTTTTAAGTCATGGTATGCACTCCATCATCAGTACTATGTGGCTAATTTAATGAAAATATGTTTTCAAGGAAATGTTAAAGAGTTTTCCATAGAATGAATAAAATAACCTGTGAACTTTTTTCCTAGATTTGCTCAGTGAAGGAACGGCATGCCAGTGAGATGAGGGACTTGCCAAGTCGCTACGTTGAAATAGGTAGGCCTTCTGACCTCCCTGGTGGCCTAGGAGCTAAGTTTCAGCACTGTCACCAGCACATCCTGAGTTCAATCCCCAGCCAGTGAGCTGACCCAAATGGCGCAGCAGACCTCTCCTGTCTCACTCCCTGCTCCCCTCAGCAGTATATTTCAGTAAATCCACCTGGCCTACAATCCAGTTCTTTTATGCATAAATAAAAAAATCTTTAACAACAAAAAGAAATAGGTAGGCCTTCAAAAAAGGAGCCATTTTATTAAGGGGCATGTTCTTCTTCAGGGCCCAACACTTGGAACTTTGATGAAATAGATCAAGAAGCTTTGTTTTAAGTTTTCAAACAGCTTCAGAGACCCTTTTTTTATAACTACATTTCTGATAGTCAAACAATGATTTTGTAGTTGGTTTTCAAATCAAACAACAATGGGTTTGGGTTCTGGTTCTGTTGTTTATGACCTGAACTTTGGACAAGCTTCTTTGTGCCTAGTCTCATCTATGAAATGTGGAAATGAGTAGCTGTCCCTATAGGTTGTTTATGAGAATGCCAAGAGTTAATACCTGTGCAGCTCGTAACACAATGTTTACATCTGGTTTTGTCAGCTGTACCTTCTAAATAATAATTTTCATCATACTGGTCTGGTCCATACTGTCATAATCTTTGGTCTAGATCACTGCAGTAGCTTCCTGATTTCTCTCCTTCCACTGTGAGTTACTGTAATCTGGTCTCCTTACTCCAGTCAGAATATAAACTAGATCGTGCTGCCACCCCTCCTCCCTTCCCATAGTTCTTAGGGTAAAGATGAGAGTCATCCACATGACCCAAGGGGTGTATGTTGACCTTCACCTCCTCATTCATGCCCATCTTCTCCTTGGTTTCTGTACTGCAGCCACATTGGCCTTCTTTCACCTAACCTTGCTGCTGCTACCTCTCTGTCTAAAATGCTCTTCTTGCCTCTTTACACTCTTGACAATTATATCTAAACTCAGTCTTACTTTCCTGGGAAAGTACACTGGACCTCCCCAAGGAGGTCAAATCCTCCCTTAGCAAACATCTATAGAACTCCTTGCAAGCAGTTGTTTCAGTTGTGGTGATTGTGTGATGATTCAGTGCATTTCCCCTCTCTTTCCCAGACCTGTAACCTCCTTGAGAGCACACACTAGATGTGTTTTTGCTCAGTGTTTATTTCAGGGACCTGGCACATGCCTGGCACACAGCAGGTACTAAATAATAGTGTTGAATGGGTTGATGACTCTGGAAAACATCTATTTGGGAGAAGTATGGCAAGGATGATGCACCACTGCTTTTGCAACTTAGTGCAAAATTTATTCAGCCAAAAAGAATGAATATTGATGGACTTTTGTCAAGCAGATCAATTATTTAAAACAGAGTAATTTTTGCATTATTTAGAAGTGAGGAATAGGAGATAAAGTTATATGACAGTTTTTGGGGCCATATTATAAGTCAGCTGAAAAGCCATTTACCTGTTTGAATGGTGTGTATGGAATATAAATGAGTCATTTTAACTCATGAAAGTGAGATCAATCATTTGCTCAGGGCTATATTTCTAAAAACAGGGAAAGACTTACATTAGCCATGTGACTAATACAATTATGACACTTAAATCTGGAATATGTTGTACTTGAAGTCAGAAGTTAGTGTTAGAGCTGTAATAAATTTTTGTCCTAGAAGAATAACTAAATCCATAAATATATAGATAACATGTGCCAAATGGATATAATCTGTCTCTGCAGAACCATCAGATTTCATGTGCAGGGAGGCAAGGCAGTTTGCAGATTTCCTGTATGATCCTGATGAAGTTGCTTCTTTTCCCACCTGTGAAATGGAGGTGATCATACCTGCCTTTCCAATGGTTGCAAGAATTTGTGTTGGCATAACTACACCTGTGACACAGTAATTGGCACAGTAGGCCCTCACTGCATCGTGGTGGTTATTATCACTATGCAGACTTCTGTCCCAGCTCTGTCACTGCTAATGGCTGGCCTGGCAATGGCCCTAGAGCCCTGAGATCACGTTATTAAAGTGTACTTCATCTGTACTACAATTTACGTGAAATAGACCATGTGTGGGTACTAACAATATCACATTACTGACATTTTACTACTATGGTTAGTGGTTAAGTACCACTTTTTCCCCTCTTGAGAGCAAACCTCTAAGAATATAAACCATTTCCACAGCAGGAGGCAAAGTGGTTTAGATAAGAGTCCTTGACTAGGATAAAGGAAAAGAGAAATATTAGGAGGTCTGGATTACAATTTGCTATAGCCCTGAACAGTGTGAACCACTGTTCTTTAGTAAATGAAGTGAAAATGGCATTGAGATTAAAGAAATATCTGTGGCTGTAGTTAGAAGCCAGATGTTTAAAACTTGTTATTATAGCCAAAATTTCAAATAACACAAAAGTTATTCCTCTCCATAGAATATAAATTGATTCTATAAATGAAATAATGATAATTAAGATCAAGGTTACTGGCCAATCACCAACCCATGAAGACATTCGTTGTACAGAAGGCTTTTTGGATGTCACTTCTTCTTCCAAATTACATTGTTAAATGTAAATTGTGGTCCACACCTTACTGTATTTCTTTTAACTTAACTTGGCTCTCGAGTGTTCTTCACAGGACTCCCTTAACCCTCTGGCACTTCTCACCAATCTTTTTCATTGTCTTTGTGGAATGGTTGTTGAAGAGCTGATGTTATACTGTTGGGAAATGAAGCCAGTAATCATGTATCATTCTCTGGATTTCTACTGCCAAGGGCAGATGGAATTATATGCAAGGAATTAATGATTGACTTCCTAGTCTTGATTTCATGTGGAGATTTGTTAAAGGACAGGAAGACATAGAGAAGGAGAAAAGGGGACCTTTTTTTTCCTTGAAGTGGTGTCCGTATCTTCAGTTGCTCTTATACTATGACTCTTAGAATTTAGCACGTTGTTTTATTTTCAGTTGATTGATTGAGAAAATAGTGGCCTGGAAACTGAAGATCTGTATGTGTGGTAGAAGAGAGCTGTGAGATGTGTCTTTTTAGATCTAGGAATCTCTCTGTGTTACCACACTGACCCAACCACACCACTACAGCACTTAGATAGTCTTATTGTGGCACATTTCACCTCTGGTCTGTTGCATCATGAACCAGGATAATGCTGATGTTGTTCACAGTGGTTTTAAGGATCCAGCTATGTGTGGTTGTCTGTTCTATTATAATTCAGTTTAACTCTCTACAATCTATTCTTTTTTTTTTTTTTAATTGAAATAACATTGGCTTACATCACTGTTGGTGTTTGGAAGTATAGGATTCCCTCCCCACGGGTATCGCCACTGTGGTACACGCATCATCAATTCACCCATAGTCTGCTGCTGTAGCCTATTGTGCCCACTTCCCTTTTTGTTCTCACCCCTGCCTTACTCTCTCACTCTGGATGCTTCATTTCTGTAGTCAGCTTTCAAGGTTAGTTTTTTTTAAGCTATAAGCTATTCTTCTGCTTAATTTTTTTGCCTGACATTTTCTATGAAAATTGTGACTCATATGAGAAAGTGAAGAATTATCTTCACAGGAATGTGAGCCACCCATATTCTTACCTTCAAGACCCTGCAATTAGGATTTTACTATGCTTACTTTATTGCATGTCTGTTCCTCTGTCCATTTCTCCTTAAAGTAGCAACTCATTTTCATTCTGTGCTGGAGATTCAAAAATTTTTTTTAAAGTGGTGGTAATAGATTTGCTCCATAAGTAATGTTAAGAAATCAAAAGCACCTGAAGTAACAAATACATTTTGTTCATTTTCTAACAGCCACCAGGTGTGTGCTAAATACATTACAAATAGAAACCCGATCTCTCTGGAAATAAATTTTCCTGCCTTACACTTTCCCCATTTTTGCATAGCTTGTGGTATTTTAATTATTTCTTAAGCAATCCAGACTCAAAATCTCCTTTAAGTCAGAGGCAGTGTTGTCACTAGCCAGATGCTTTTAGAAGTATGTCTTCTTCCTGGTTGGTGTTCAGTAATTCTTTATTGCTATAACCCTCAGAAATATAAGATCCAACATAGAATAAAATTTGTTAATTTTTATTTCAATCTTATACAATCATTCTGAACCTGATAGAGTGTGCTGTTGATGGCCCAACAATATTCATGGATTTGTGACTCTAACCCAGAACCTTTTGCTCTGCCTAATGTATGTTGGTATAGAACACTGATATCTTAATATTTTGCACTTGAAGTAAGTAAGCTGGGAAGATGGTGGTGCTGGCAGCATAATTTTCCATCTGCCCAAGTCATCATATAAAAACTGAACAACTAGATTGCACAACCAAGAACCCATAAATTACACTTACTACAGAGTGACAAGAACCTCATATAATGAATGGATGGGGGCAACTATGGACAAACTTAAGACCTGCGGTATCAGTTTCTGTGTGAGAGAAGCAGAAGGGAATGGGGGTGTGCAGCAAACTTGAGAGCAGGAGAACTCCAAAGCAATTCTGACATTCCCTGGAAAAGACACTTGGAAACGAGTGGGTGAAGCCTGTATTCAGGTCAGGGGCGTTGGCATCTCACCAGTCCCGTGAACTTGAGTAGCAGGGCTTCCTGCCAGGCTCAAGCAGGGCGACTAAAACTTAAGCAGAATGTGGGTGGTAGAAACAGAAGGAAGAGGAGGTCCAGATAGAAGTGGTAGGTGCAGAGCCAGGAAGTCTCAGAAAGCAAGGGACCAGATTTCGAACACTAAATGGGAATAACAGTAGAGAGAAATCTTGAAATTAGTAGTTATTCCAGCCCCTTCCTCCTTCTAAGACAACAGTGTTTTCACCTAAAACCAAGCACCAGGAGAGAATAAGGCCAAGTCCCATACTGAGTTTTAAGAAAATGGGATTAAGTTGCAGAATAATATCCTTGGCAATAAAAGCACAACCGAAAAGAGACACCCACAAAATAGGTAACAAATGCAATATTATTTCAGAACAAACTACAAGACACTTGAAGAATTAATGCACGGTATGAAAGAAAAACAAAAATCAGAACAAAAATTCTCAAATGAAGTGACAACTCTAGGAATAGTTGTATAAAAAGATTATTTCAGAAATGAAGATCAGACTAGAAGGAACACAAGAACAAACAAAGAATGCTGTACTTTGCTAGTACCACATTAAAGAATAAGAAGTGAAATTTTAAAAGTATACATTATTTAATGAAATATTTCCCCAAAATTATTTCAGCATGTAAGAACATAAAAAGTCACTGAAATAACTTAATTTTCATACTAAGTCTTCAGAATCTTACATGCAGCATATCTTAATCCAAACTCTGCACACATTTCAGGTACTTAATATCTACCAGTGGCTTGCAGCTACTAAAGGTCAAGACACCAAAAGGTTTTTCTTTATCATTAAATTCCAGTAACTTTACTAAAATACATGTTAATGGTGCTGTGGTGGGTCATTATTTCAGATATACAGCGTATAAATTAATTTATAATGTAATTATAATTGAAATAGTTGTTTCTTTGTAGTTTCAGGTCATTTTTCTTGAATTACTATTTTTGGTATTAGATATAGTCTCTTGTTTTGTTTTTGTCTGTTTGTAGATTAGGAATTCTTATTTGTAGATTGACTCATGCCTATCTTCAGTATTCATCACTTAAATGCTAATCTTATTTTTCCTTATTGTTTTGTCTTTTAAAAAATTTCCCCCTTCCCTCCTTCTGAGCAAACTCAAGACATGACAACAACCAAATCTTCTTGTTAATATTCCTTGTATGTGTTCTAAAATTTTAAATTGTCACCTCTTTGTTACTCAATTCTGTGTGTCCCCATACTCTTCAATATAGGTACATTCCTGGGACCTCCCCAGTGGTGCAGGGGATTGAGCACAGTGCTGTGAAGGTGTCAGCAGCCTCTGCAGCGTGGGTTTGATTCCCGGCTGGCCAGGGAGCTACCCACTTGGTGCGGCAGACCTCTCCTGTCTCGCCCACTGCTCCCCTCAGCAGTGTGTTTCAGTCAGTCTGCCTGTTCTGCACCCTGCTCTATCTCTGGTGAATTCTCTCACCCTCCTGTACCCCAGCTCTTGTGTAAATAAATAAATAAATAAATCTTTAAAAAAATAATAACATAGGTACATTCCAGCTCTTCCCCTTTCTTCTACCCTTCCACACTACCTCCCACATAGACACAGAACCGTCAGCTTCTCCAGAAGCTCTAAAAGCCTGACTATGCTCTTCTGACATGTTGTTGTGGTAGGAGATGGTTCTCTACATATGAACTTCACTTCACCAAAACTATAAGTGTCTGGATAAAAATATTCAATTCAAGCCCACAGAGGCTGAGGGAAAAGGTGTTAGTGGCAGAGCTGGAGCCAGTATCTGCCTTTGGACTTCCACTCTTTGGCTTTTCCTAGGGCGCTATAATCCCAATTTGATCTAATCAAGAACAGAACATAAGAAATACCCTTTTGACATTTATGTTACTATTTAGCAATATTTTGGTCATCCTTAATTCCATTTTAGTATAAAAATTGGATGGTACAGTTATATAAGGAACAGTCATTAAAACTAGGCAGAAAAGTAGCAGTAAGTGATCTGCCTGAAAAATAGAGAGGAGAAAGAAGAAAAGCTTTATAGCTTATTTCCTTGATGATACAGATTTCATTTCTAGTGTGCTTCTATTATTTTACAGATGGGAAAAGTTACATCCACAGAAATTAAAATGATTTATGCAAGTTCAATTTAGCGAAAGTTATATCCCAGATTTCCTGACTATACATTCTTTAATGTTTCTGATATGCTACATTGACTTCCCGTAGTTTGGAAAGACTGTAATTTCATCACGGACATTAACTCCTGGAGCTAATACCACAGAATTGTAGGGAAACTCTGAATCAAGAAACTCTTAGAAAACTTTCAAATGAAAGTTTACTTCCAAATGAATTTGTAATTGTAATGTAGGATTTCTGGAACAATCTGTCAGCACTACTACTGTATCAGTTAGCTTCCCTGTGTGAGAATCCATCCCAAAGCTTAGTTGTTTAAAACAACAATCTATTATTATTACTAAAGTAACTTTGATTTATAACATTATAAAGGTTTCAGGTGTACCGCATTGGAAAACAGCATCTGTATATACTACATCATGTTTGCTGTGACAAGTCTACCTTCTGTCCTTAGCCATAAAATTGACCCCTTTTTATCCAATTTACCCACATTCCTGCCCCCTTTCCTCTGGTAACCACTATTTTTATAGCAACTGGTAGCAATATTTATGCTACTTCTCCCACCGAACTTTCTGTCAGATCTTTGAGGTCCATTGTAATTACATCCTTGTTTGTAAGTGGATTAAACTTCTTAAATGATGTGATGTTTCTTCTAAATTGTAAACACTAACATTAAAAAGGAAAGAAAATGTCTTTAACTACTTTGACCTTTAGTTCACTTTAAAAATCATGGTGTTTAATCATTTTGTAATTTATACACACCTTTTCAAAAATGGCTTTAAATAAAATGTTTAATAAATGTTTTCAAAAAGGGAATAATAATAGTGTTTCTTGAATCCAAAGAGCATTCTTGATGACTTTTGTACCACTGCCCTGCACTAATTGTGAAAAACTTAAACGCTGTGCTTCCCCTGGTGGCGCAGGCAGTTGAGCGCCACGCTGTGAAGCTGTCCACAGCCTCTGCAGCGCCAGTTCGATCCTGGCCGGCTGGTGAGGGTCCCACATGGCGCAGCAGACCTCTCCTGTCGCGCCTGCTGCTCCCCTCAGCAGTGTAGTTCATCAGTCTGCCTGTTCTGTTCCCCGCTCTGTCTCTGGTGAATCCTCTCACTTTCCCATGAATCTGGCTGTACCCCAGTTCTTGTATAAATAAATAAATAAATCCTTAAAAAAATGAAAGAAAAACTTAAATGCTGTCATTTAAAAAAAAATGTTGTTGGGCCTCCCCGGTGGCGCAGCGGTTGAGCGCTGGGTTGCGAAGCTGCCCGCGGCCTCTGCGGCGCCGGTTCGATCCCCGGCTGCTCCCCGGCCACCAGAGGAGGGTCCCACATGGCGCGCAGACCTCTCCTGCCGCCCGCTGCTCCCCTCAGCAGTGTACTTCGGTCCTTCTGCCTGGTCTGCTCCCCGCTCTGGCTCTGGTGAATTCTCTCACCCTCCCGTGCTTCTGACTGTACCCAGTGCATGTATAAACAAAACAAACAAACAAACCAGCAAACAAATAAATAAAGCATGCCTCTATAAAAAAAAAAAAAAAAAAAAATGTTGTTAATAGTTAGGGTTTTATGAGTATCTTCATGGGATTTAACTGTGTCATTTTTAGGCCTGCTGGCCGCATTGTCACATCTGAGCTGTTATTGTTGGATTTGCTTTTTGTTTGTGATAGAAATTTTCAGGTGTAAAGTCCCACATACCCATCAGTACAACCTTTGTACCCATAATTGTCAAGAAAATATGTTTATCCTCACCACATGATGTTAGATTTCTAAAGTGAGTTCACCGCACCTTCATTGTTGATGTGTTCTTCCCTTGGTGTGCAGCTTTTTGCTCCTGTTAATGGTGAATCTTCTGTCCCTTTTGTCTGCAGTGTCTCAGTTTGAAACTGAATTCTACATCAGTGGACTTGCACCGCTCTGTGATCAACTCGTGGTACTCTCCTACGTAAAGGAAATTTCAGAAAAAACGGTAATTTTTTTCACCCGGAATACAAAGGGACATATGGGCTCATTTTTAGCATTGAACCCAGATCAGGTTGCCCATGAAAGGATTCTGCTGCAGTCTGAGCAGAACTTCCTGACCTATAAAATAAGGTCGGCAGAGATTACCCTGTAGATCTAACATATTTACCTTTCAGAAGCTCTGCTCATTGCCTGCCTTTGTTCCTTTCACTGAGCAAAGGGGAGTCTTTTTTTTTTCCTTTTTTTGCTATCTCTCTTGGTATTTTAGTCAAAAGGAATGAAGGATTCCTCTTGCTGAAAGGCGAAGAAACTAAGCTGACACTGTGCATTAGCAGAAATGACAGCAGTGAAGTTGATCTGCTGCAACAACAGGGGTCCCTGTGGTCAGAGGGAATTACAGAAAGGGCAGTTCATTATTTCCTGTGGTCCAGACATATTTGTTTACTTCCCAATGGCCCAGTGATTCTGAGAAGCTTGATTATTGCTTTGGAATAGATTGTTGCTAGGTCTCAGTTACCATCAGCAAAGATGGTATTAAATGGGTGACTAATGTGAGGCTGCAGAGAATCTAAATTTTCTTACATGTGACTTTGGAATGAAGCCTGTATGTATGGTCCAGTGGAGGGACATGCACACACAGTCTCCCTTGAAGCCTAGGTCAGCCCGATTCCCAGCTTGTCTTTATTGTCAGAGTCCCAGGTCCTGCCAGGAAGCAGATAGGGGTGGTTTCAAGGCATAAACAGGGGCATTTATTGTAAAGGATTTTCTTGTGGATGCTGTATATAAAAGAAATTGCAATTGATTGTCTAGCTCTTTCCAGTAAGCAGGCTCTCCTTGTCTATAGCCTCTGCTTTTTTTTTTTTTCTTTTCAAATGGCAAGGAATAAAGTGGGGAGAAAAACCCTAGAAGCCCCAGTTTTGAAGTGGTAGCTGCTCCAGAGCATTTCTCTGAGTGAGCACTTGCATTAGGAAGCCATCACTATAGTAACCTGAAGCTCTGGGTACCCATGTTGCTAGGCAATAGGATGCTGAGGACTTAAGTGAACACTCAACCTACTAAAATCAATAGGGCTGGCTTCTAGCCCTGTTGCAGGACATCAGTTTGTTATTATTTTATTTTATTATTTTTTTTTTTTTAAAATAAAAGTGGTGGCTCCTGAGGGAGTAAATACAGTGCCTTTTGATGAGAAATATGGGGTGGATTGAGACTATGATTGAAAGACATAAGGAAAGAAGCAGTAAAAATGAAAAAGTGAAAACCTAATAAACAATTGACCAGGAGAAAGAAGGAAAGAAAGAAAGGAAACATTTGTTAATAAAAGAGAGAGTATTGGAAAGGAGTCACAAGCAAGAAAGGCCAGCCCCATAGAGCAAATTAGAAAATAGAATGTCTTCAGAGGTAGAAGTAAGGATCTTGGAGACAGCTTAAAAATGTATGTCTCAGTGAATTTAGCTAATCATTTTCTATAACACCAAGGTACCTTGCATCCTTACACATGAAATAAAATGATAAAATTAAGATGAAAGAACTAAGAAGCAGGCTTGGTGTTAGCCACATTTATTTTTTTATATATCAAAAACACAGTTTAAATGCAGCATTAAACAAAATTTTTTTTCGTATCACTTTTAATATTATTTCCCAGAATATTTTTTCTGCTATACCTTTTACATGCGTGCATGTTTCCAGCACAGTTGCTGTCATAGTTATGCAGTATTCTTATCATTCTGATGTATGGATGTTAATTGCATTCTCTCTCTCCATAAGGCTGCGTAGTCTCCCATCACTGTCATTTGTGGTGGTGTGTACTGTTCATCTGGGCGATGTGCCTTCATTTATTAAGCTGTTCCCTTCATGTATTGTTTTTCTGTCATTCATTACTAAAGCACACATGTGTTAAGAATTATAGTAAGCATTGGGGATATGAGAACAAGACCAAATTCCTGCTTTTAGAAATTCACAGATAAGCAGGGTTGCTTGGCCAGTGAACAAAGGTTTGAAAGCACTGAGGTGAATCACACTGTAGATGGTTTCCATACACATGTAAAAGAGCTGTTTACATAGTTGAGCAAGATGGTTTTCTGTTCATATTTGATCCAGTCTTTTTTATACTTTGTTATTCTAATTTTGATATTTTTGTCATCATGACAGCAGTTTTTTTTAATTATTCAAATCTCAGTTTTTCCCATCATTTTTGTATTTCAGAATTGAAATATCCACATTTCTTCACAGAACTGATAAATTTTGTTGTGTACTCATTGGGGTTTTTATCGCTATTAGTTCATCTTTTGTAGTTGCTATTTAATTTTTGACATGCTTCAAATGTGTTAGTTGCAAAGTTAATGTAATTGCTCCTGAAGTAACCTAACAATATTGATCAAAGAAGCCTTCAAGGCTTACTGTTTGATTTCATAAACTTGGAGAGTTGAAGATAGTTCTGGACTTTTTCCATTTTGTTCCTTTTATCTGTGTCCTCTGTGCCAGTGTTACATTGCTGCAAGTCTTATTGCTTTGAAAAATATTCAAGTGTGTTTTATGCTGTGTGCTGAATACTGAAAAGGCATGAACCGTAAATAAAATAAATCTGATTTCAAATCCAAGGTTTGCCATAAGTCCTGTTTTTTTCCCCAACCCTGGCCTCATCATTTACTTATATAACTTTGACCACAGTTTCTTATCTGTAAAATTAGGAACAACATTACTTACTAAGGGTTAATTTAAGAATGCAATGAGATTAATATCTGTACAATCACCTACTGAGTTAGAAGAACTGTTCAGAGATGCTCAATAAATCTTCTTTCCCTTGATACAGAGTCACTATAGTCACAAAACTATAGTAACTAACCACATATAGCTATTTCAGTTTAAATTAATTCAGATAAAATTAAATTAAAACTGAATTTTTCAGTCACACAGTCACAAATCAGGTGTTCAATAGTGACCTATAACTCATGTCTGTCACATTGGGCAGATACAGAATATTTCCATAATCGCAGCAAGTTCTGTTTTAGATAGAATTTTTTTTTTTTTAATATTTGGCTTTTCAGCACTACCAGCAAGTTTACCAGTAGTGACAGTGGTTTGGATAGTGGAGCAGGTAGTCTTATTATTTTACTCTTCCTCACTTTTGTGAGGAAAAGGTATAGCAAAGTTGAATAAGTATGTGGAGTTGAATGGGCTATAGCAGTGGACTGCTGAAAGGACATGGCCATACCTGTCCTGTTTGGCTCATGCAAAATGTCAAAGTGAAATGGTGTCAGGAGACTGCCTGAGACAGTGGTTGGGATGTCTTGCATCTGCTGAAGTTATAAAATCAAGGCAATGAACTATTGATAAGTAGAATTAATTTGTATGATTTACAGAAATGTAATTAAAATGATCCTTTTCCCTCTTTTTCCCCACCAGGAAAGAGAATATTGTGCCAGACCTAGACTGGATATTATCCAACCACTTCCTGAGACTTGTGAAGAGATCTCTTCTGATGCTCTTACAGTCAGAGGCTTTCAGGAAAATGAATGTAGAGATTATCACTTAGGTAAGAGAGATCAAGGATCTGACTCATGCTATTTCTTATACTTATATTTTTTCCCCTTCCACTTTATTAGCACAACTGGGAATTTAAATTGAGGTGCTGAAAGGATTTTAGTGAAAATCTGGACGGACCTCTTATGTTGAAAATGAGGGCATTAAAGCTCAGAAATATTACAGAACTTGCTTACGGGAGGGTAGAGATGGGGCCAGGACTAAAGTGAGTTGGTTCTGATATTTGTTTTTATATTTTGTCTGTTGTCCTGTTTAACGAGACACTTAACTCACATTTACATCAAGCAGTGTGGGGCTATGGTTGCCATATAAATCCCAAATTTATGTCCCTGTGAGATGCATTTTGGGATGGAAGAGAAATTGTCTTTTGGTTGTGACTGAATGCTCAGTCCCTGGAAGAGTCCCTGGAATAAAGAGTCGCTGAATATCCATTGAGTGACTCAATGAAATGCTTACTTGTCACCCAGCAGTAAAAGGAGAACTAGTGTTATCACTTATTCGTACCAGGGGCAACTGCATCAGAGTATCACTTGTCCTTGTAAATGCACTGATGAACATAAGGCACCTAAGCTAAGCTTTTTAAAAATTCTGTCCTGCTTAAAAAACAACTGCCATTTTTTGAGAGTATTTCCACTTCTCATATTGGCCAGAGGAAATGAAGAAATGTTCTATACGTATTTGAGCTTTTTGATAAGAAGCCCTTAATCAGTTGAAAAATGTGAGAGTACCTTCTGGACTTGGCAGAAAGCAAATGTGATTCACAACTGAAAGTGTCCAATCTAGATATTTTGCTCAGAGCAAACTCTGCTGCACACTTAGAAACCCTTCAGAACAGGTTTTATAATTGAATTCCGCAGGAAACCCTCACGATTGGCACTGTGCACAACATGCTGAAATGATAGATTATGTCCCCAGGGCCTGGGGCATCTGTCATTTATGCTTTAGATGGCCTTGACCTTGAGGAGGAAACATTTATTGTTGACTATGGGGTGTAATTGTTCAGTAAAAATAGAACAGTGCGATACATAGCTATAAATAAAGTTTATATACAGTAGATGAATTCTAATATGCAATAGACATGGAGAATTTTATATACTGTCTTTTAGCTGGGGTTAGAATGTTAATGCATTTAACAATGAATTTCAAACTTTTTTTTTAAGTTTTTTGGTATTCCCTCCCTTTCTTGTTGCCTTTGTCTTTCATTCTATTTTTTCCAAATAATTCTACACTTAAATAATTTTAAAAGCACTGAAATATATTCAGTTGCTCTCTACCCTCCTACCTACCTTCAAGTTCAGCCAAACACACTTGCTTCAAAAGTAGGCGAGTTTTCTGTTTACTCTTAAGTTGAGTAGCCTACCCAAGTTCCCCAAATCGATTGCCAGGGCTTCCACCATTGAGTCACTAGAATTCTTCTGTCTTCTCTCACCTGTAGAGTACTCTGAAGGGGAATCACTCTTTTACATCGTGAGTCCAAGAGATGTCGTCGTAGCCAAGGAACGAGACCAAGATGACCACATAGACTGGCTCCTTGAAAAGAAGAAATACGAAGTAATTTTGAGTTTACTTTCTTGAAACTATTCACATGTCTAACATAAAGTGATAAAAGTTTTTTATAATAAACCTTTCATGGAGGGGACTCAGATATCCTAAGCTAAAAATATTTAGGAGAATGATAAGGTTACAATAATCTTGTCAGATATTAGAGGGAAAATAATTACAAGATTTGCCTTTACTTTAAAATGTGAGAGAAGTTGGTGGTAGAGAAAGGGAAGATGGGTTAGGTTGCTTTGAGCTTATTGGCATGTTTATTTTGTAGTTTTTCAAGGAAAATAAAGTGGAGTTAGTATTTCAGAATTGACTGTTTGGATATTTTAGTGAAATCATTCATTTGTGCCTATTTCATAATTCAAGGTTAAACTATAAAATTAGTACACAGGATGGTTAGAGCTACCATTCAGATAGAAGGACATTGTCTGCATCAATAGATCTAGTAGAGACTAATGATAGTGTCCTATCATGACTTTTTTTTTTCTTTTAAAAAAAAAGGAAGACATTTTGAAATTACTAGAGGCAAACACATTATTGTGGTGATTTAGTTAGAGCAGCTCTTTGGATGGCCTAAAATACTAATCAACTAAAAATAAACAGAAAAAACAGCCCACTTAATTTTTTCCTGTAAGTTTGTAGCCATCTGAAAGGATTGGGGAGGGAGGTGTTTTTAATTTATAAACTATTTTTAGTCCAGGTATTGATACAAAGTTCGTATCCCAATTATTATGTTGCTTTAGAACCAGGAGTTTCTTAAAGAACTGTTATGTTTACATTTGTGTTTTACTAATAAATATGAACTTCAAAATAAAAGTTAAGTCACAGGTTTTTAAAATTTAATGGTAGAGCTAACTAAATATATGCATGTAGTTTACTTTAAATATTTCATAAAGAAAAAGTACCCGTTTGCTAATATGTATCATTTAGAATGACAGATGATTTTTGATCATTTGAACTTTGAAGATTTAGCTGTATTTTGTTTTTTGTGTGAAAAGTGATTCCAAGATCCTAATGTAGAAATGAATTCAAATGGAAATAAGAGAAGACTTCATTTTGGTTGACTGCTTTGTTTGCGTTTGAATTCAGTGAGGTCCATTCAACTATAACATTAAAAATTCCAGAGCTTAAAGCAAAAGTCATGGGAAAATGGGGCTCTGTTTTGTATAGTCCAGAACTTTAAAACATAATTAATACAGTCTTCATAACCTCAGTAACTTTTTCTTCTACCTTCTTCCAATTTTCCTTCCTGTTTCTCTACTCCTTTTATCATGCTTATGTAAATATAGGAAGCTTTGATGGCAGCTGAAATTAGCCAAAAGAACATTAAAAGACATAAAATTCTGGTAAGTGTATAATTTTATCACATGAAACATAACTTTGCCTTGCAATGAGTTATAATGAGGCTGGAAGAAATTTGAAAAGAACAGATTCTTTCTACCTCTCTTGAGAATTTATTTCAAACCTTTCTAATGTGTCTTTTTAAAATTTTTTAAAAGATTTATTTATTTATGCATACAAGAACTGGAATGTAAGCCAGAGGTGCAGGGGATGAGAGGATCCCCAGAGACAGAGTGGAGAGCAGAACAGGCAGATTAACTGAAATACACTGCAAAGGGGAGCAGTGGGTGAGGCAGGAGAGGTCTGCTGGCCATGTGTTGCTTCCTGACCCTGGCCAGCAGTGGGTCAAGCTAGTGCTTCTGTGGCTGGTGATAGCTTGATGGCGCTGTCTTTAACTCCTGCGCCACCAGGGAGGCCCCAAACCTTTCTAACTTGTGAAGGCAAAATATTTCATTTTGTTGAATGAGTTTCTACTTGTAAACAAGAGACTTGAACACCTGCTGGGGGCAGTTTAAAGTAATTTGTAAACTGGATTCTTGAAATACACGTTAAATACAGCTTTCCATTTCAGTGCGAGGAAGTTTCTTTAAATCATAGTTGAAAATCGCATTATCACAAAATTTATCCAAGAATAGTTTCATAAAACTACATTGTTTTGGTATCTCCATAACAGACTCAATTGATTTTGTTAGGGTGATTAATCGAGGATATCAAATACATCTTTATTATATTTTGGACTCTGGAAAAATGTAGTGACTAAAATCCATTGTTAATTATGACAGTGAATATGTAGATAGAAAGCAGAAAATAAATGTTACCCTCTGAGTTTGAAAGGTTCGTAGAGATCATCTAGCCCAGCACTCTATAGATGAAAATGGGAAACGTCTAGTAATTTTTGGCTATTTGTGTTTCTGCACAAATTCCTTCGACCACCTTTCCCTACTTCTCTGCAAAATTCCACATAATCCCTAAAGGTTATTCAAGTAAAGTAATTCAAGAACTAAAAGGAGTGATAACCAGAGAATTTTTTTTTCATGCAAAATTTAGAAATGGAACAAATGTCCTTACAGCAGTAGAATACTATGTCTGACAGTGCAGAGAAGTGAAGCCACTTCATCCACTTCGATATGTAGGCAGTGGAGGATTTATACCTAGCATGGTAGTAAGTGCCTGATCCCATAGGGCCATGTATATTCAGGAGTTTGATTCTATCTTGGGAGTTCTAGAGGGCAGTTTAAAATTCCTATGCTACATCAGATTTGTTGGTTAAAAATAAAAAGTTACGGGCCTCCCTGGTGGCACAGCGGTTGAGCGCTGGGCTGCAAAGCTGCCTGCAGCCTCCGCAGCTCTGGTTCTATCCCCGGCCACTGGTGAGGGTCTCACATGGTGCGCAGACCTCTCCTGCCGCACCCGCTGCTCCCCTCAGCAGTGTACTGCATCGGTCTGCCTGTTCTGTTCCCCGCTCTGGCTCTGGTGAATTCTCTCACCCTCCTGTGCTTCTGACTGTACCCAGTGCTTGTATAAATAAATAGATAAATAGATAGATAGATAGATAGATAGATAGATAGATAGATAGATAGATAGATAGATAGATAAATCTTTAAAAACAAAACAAAAAAAAATTAAAAGAAAAAGTTACCCTGATGGAGAAAGGGGACCCAAGGGAGGCAGCTAATCGGGAAATCATTTAGGATACTTCTTGGTGTCAAGATGGGAAGTAACGGCACCTGCAAAGTTAGAAGAATGGAGAGGTGAAAACAGGTGGACGATAAGGTCTCTGTATGTCTCTGGCCAGTGGTAACTGCAAGTTCATTCAGAATCAAAATTACTGATTAACATGCACACGCTGAAGCCAGCCAGCTCTTTATTTTAATTCTCACTTTCTTCATTTGTAAATTCATATTTTTCTGAATTACATGTTTCTGAGCTCATTTTCACTTCAACTTTAATATTTCCCTATAATATGATGGTATGTCATTTCATTTTTCTTATACTACTTCAGAATCCAAGTGGAAGAGACAGGTAGCTTACACTTTATAGATGAAAACCCAAGCGACGATTTTATATCCAGTGACAGCATGAGATTATTGAATCATATTTCCAATATTGGAGATTTATTTTGTAGAAATTCTCATAAGGAGGCAGGTAAAGTGCCTTTAAAATAGCAACATTATTCACTTTTTTAAAAAATTGTGAATTCTGAAGTTTATGAATCTATAGACAGAAGTACATTTAAATGTAAAACATAAAACAAACTAAGATGTCAAACAATTTCCAGCTAATGGAACCCTAACTTTACTCAGAAGTTGAGACTCAGCTTTTCACTTGTTCCAATTAATTATCAATTTCTTCATTTAATTTTCTCCAGGATATTGGCTTGGCATATATAAACCACCTGGTGGATAAAGGAGACTATGACATGGCAGCACGGTAATTATGACATTATTGCAATTATTTGCTAATATAAATATAGTTGAACAATCTTAATAAAAGTAAACCATTTTCGACAATGGACAGACAAATACATCTTTCTAACAGTGGTAATTTTTTAATATTACTGGTTTTAACCCAGACTGGATTAATCTGTGTTATGTATCCATCTCCTATCTCATTTTGACCAAATGGAGAAATGTTTCACTTATTGACAAAGGTCTTAGGAAACATGAGAAGTGTGAGATTTTACCCTATTTATAAGCTAATGACAAGTCAACCACCAGTATCATGGGTGCTAAGTCCCTAGCAGTAGTAGGTGCAAACCTAGCACAGGATGGGACACAGAGGGCCATGTGACCTTCCCAGGCAGTGGGTTGCATTATAGGGGAGGGCCCTCAGAGCTCAGGGTATCGAATTCTTTTATATTGGCCAGTAAGCCTGCCCGCCTTCGGCTCCTAAGGGAGACATTGTTTTTGTTAGATTGAACAGTCAGCAACCTGCTTAGCTCTCAAGGGAAACTCAGTGACCTGTGATTTCCAGGGCTGTTCACTAGACAAGTGTTCTTGAGAAGATAGTCCAGAGTAAGGATAGTGCCTCTGCTCACAGTGCTGGCAGAATGGCCTCCCAACAAGAGTATCGTAATTAAAGGAAAGTGATCAATCTCCTGGTCCGCGGGATATATCGAGACCAAAAACATGATTCTTTTGTAGTGGTTGTGTTGGTGTGTATGTGTGCCTCAGTGTGTGCAGCGCCTTTCTGCAAGCCAACATAGCAGCCTGGGAAGATGGTCTTCAGGCCCGCTTTGCAGCCCCTGAGATTTGGGGAATGTATTCCTTAGATGTGTAAATTAAGTAAGGTCTCATTCCTACATAAATACTTTTTATACCTCGGTCAAAGTCTGATTGTCTGAAGTGTAATTTTGTAGTCCACTACTTAAACCCATTTAAGAGCACTTTTATGTGATATTTCTTCAAGGCAGTTTTGGTACCAAAACTGGTAGTGCTTGGCTGAATAAATGAGAAACTCAACACAGGGAAATCATTGAGAAACCCCAAATCATAGTCATCTGAAAAGGACTCATCTGTGTTTATTTATTGTATTTTTGTATTAATTGTCATGATGTCTGTCAATCTTGTATATACAATCAAATAAGTAACAGCAATAATACCTTTATGTTCATTGGTACTTGAGCTAAAAATTTGTCAAAACTCTCGGATGAGAGGTTAATCTTAACCTCTAGGGAAAATGATCACTAGTTCTGTTCTGTTTACATTTTTTTATTTATACTTTCTTTCTCCTTGGGATGTTTTTACTGTCAGCAAGTGCCAGAAAATTCTTGGGAAAAATGCAGCACTCTGGGAATATGAAGTTTATAAATTTAAAGAAATTGGACAACTTAAGGTAAACAGAACTTTCTTTTTAACTCTTAATTTTTGTATATAGTATAGTAATGTGAGGGGAAAAAAAAGTAGCAGTCAGTTCTTTATTAGGAAGGATGCATTCTGCCATCTGGAAAGAAAAATCAGACTTTTAGAAATTAGTTTTCAAAGCAGCCTGGTTTATATTTTATGTGATAAAATAAATACATGTGTATATTACATATCTCATGTATTCAGTTCATCTCCTTCTAGTTCTCTCTGTGTTCAGATGAAGTTTGCATGTTCTTTTTATAGAACGTGAAAGACAGGTGTAGTCTCATCCAATAGATTATTAAACTTAAGGCTTTTCAAGTTTACTGCAATTTTAATACATTTTTCAAATAGTATTTAACTTGCTAGAACCTAAGTGAAAATGTTTGACCTTGTAATTATAACAAATAATTTTGATTATTCATTTTTCAGTCTTTTAACTTGTACATGATATCCAAATCAATCAATGAAGTCTTCCTGTGTTTAAAACATTTTCAAAAAAGTTTTAGTGCCTTCATGAGTTAGGAATGTACTTTTAAAAATGCTCAATTATTCAGAAATTGCAGCTCTATGACTCTTCCTCTACATGCCCCATCAATGTTACTCGTCCCGGGAGCCCCCCTTCACTGAGATGATCCTGGGAGTTCTTGTCCAGTCCTTTGGCCGGGTTTACCCTGATGGCTCCATACCCAGACTTTTCTTTTGAATTCCTTATCTCTGTAGAATAGGTGATATCCATTTTTCCTCATATTTGCTGCTAATAATCACTGCTCAATTTAATGCAAATCATTTCCTCCCCAAATTGGTCTTTTCTCCTTTCAGAATCGATCTGTGTTTATGACATCATGGCCTACCCATTCCTCCTTGCTTAGTAGTTTAAAACAGTTGTCTTGATGAAAACATGTGACTTACCTCCTTTTCCTTTGTAATCTCCAATACTCTCTAGTTTCTTCTCCCATCAATGACCCTGCCGCTCAAACTCTGAGCTACTCGGGCCTCTCTGAGTGTAGAGTGTGCTTCCTTTGCTCCTGCTGGTCCCCCTGACTGGTATCCTTCCCCTTCTTTCTGTGCCTGATAAACCCTGGGCATCTGTGATCTCCGCTTCACTAAGCAAGATTAGCCACAGCCTCTAGTTAAATCCTTCTCTTCTGCCATGGATGACTGTTTTAACATCTGCATGTCTTCCATCTGGGGCTGTGTGCTTCTTGGGACTGTGACTCTAGCTCAGTGTCCCCAGGAAAAAGTGGCCATTGGTGCGTGATGCACTGCAGAGTCACCTAATAGTGATTGGAAATTCAGCATTTGGCACTGAAATAGCTAAAGAACACAAGATATATTTTTCCCTGATTTCAAAGGATGATTGTGAGTTCCTAAACATTTGAACAAAAGAAAGATAATAGATAGCCTAACTCTCTGATTACTTAAGAAAATGTCTTGATCATCTCTGTGGCAACTCCCATTTAGATTTTGCTCAACTCATTTGGAAGAAGAGAGAGATAATGGGTAACCTGGGAAACTTTTTATTCATTCATTATTGTATATACACCTCATATATTTTAAAATATTTAACTATTTTGAAAATATTGTATAATATTGTACTATGTTGTAAGAAAGTAGTTTTTTGGTATCTTTCAATAATAATTTTCTAAATTACTTTGTTGCCTGAAATTTTAAAAGTAAAAAGTTATGTTTGTGTTTTTTGCATAATTGAATTATATTTTTGTTTTGCCACTTTTTAAAGAATTGTTTTTCTTTTCCTTCTCTAGGCTATTAGTCCTTATTTGCCGAGAGGGGATCCCGTTCTGAAACCACTCATCTATGAAATGATCTTACATGAATTTTTGGAAAGTGATTATGAGGTATCAGACTCTGACATGGTCACATTTACCCATTCTCCATGGAAAATGTTAAGAAATCTAAAAAAAAATAATATAAGGGAGCAGTTGGTTTAAGGGAAACAGATTTTCAATTTGTGTGTAATAGATGAAACTGACAAGGTTAAACTGCTGACAGGTAATGTTTATATATATGGTGACAATCTTTATGTACATTCTGAAGAATTCTTCACAATTCTTTAAAATTACCTCCTTAATAGAACTAAGGAAAAAAATGACAAAGTGCCCAGTTGGGAAATTTCATAAACAGCAGCTGCTGTGGATGCTTATACTGCACCTAAAAGAATAACTTTTTAAAGGGTGAGACTGAGAACTAAATTTGCCAAAGGAGGATTAAAGAGAAGAGCTCAGGAATGGTGACGGGATTGGAAAAGGATCTGTTTGTTTATTGATTAAGGAGACAGGCAATACTTAAATTGCTTATCTACTATATGGTCTGCTCTTTTACATGCATATTGCAACTCTGTACACCCAACAACACCATAAATGTTAATATCCAATTTTGTAGATGTGGAAACTAAAGATTGATGAGTTAAATAACTTGCCCACAACCAAATAGTTAATAACGAAGCAAGGATTTCAGTTTAACTTTTGTGTTTACATGCACTCAAAATGGATTATAATTTTTAAAATCTGTTTATTTGACATGTACCTACTCAGAAAGTATCTGTGTAGTGCCTACTGTATTCCAGAAGTGTGCCAGGCACTGGGCATATACATCAGCTCTTTGTCCGAGTAACAGAGTCACAGCCAAGTATGTAACACCTTAGTTCTCACACGGGCTGTTTTACGCCCCTCCTCCCACAGGGACATTTATGAGTTTTGGTTGTCAATTTTGGTTGGTTGGTCCTACTCACATTTAGTGTGTGGAGACCAGCAGAATGCTGTGAAGCATCCTAAAATGCACAGGACATCCTCCTACAGCATTAGCATTGTGACAAATGTCAACCGTGCTGAGGTCAGGAAGCCTTAAAATGAGTTATATCGTTACAGAACATGTTGGGTGCTCTGATAAAAAAATCAACAAGGTGTGGTGACTGAGTCAGGCTACTTTCCCATCTGTCCGGAGAAACAGATGAGATTTCTGGTGGGCAGGTAATAGACAGAATTGTGACTGGTGATAGAAAGATCCATAAACCAGGAGACGGAGCTGTCAGACCTTGGGCTGCACATCTCAGCTTTGGCCCATCCTTATTAATCTTTTATAAAAGTGACCCTGACTTCATCATCTTATAATATTCAGGAGCCTAAGCCATTTCTGGTGACTCACAGCATGCTGTAAGTTGTCATTGCCTCCTTATATACTAGTGTTTAATTTTATAATAAGAAAAACTTAAAACTTTCCTTTTTCTCACAGCAATGTGAGATGGCTTGCAAGAAGTTAATACAGGGCCTCCCCGGTAGCACAGCGGTTGAGCACTGGGCTGCGAAGCTGCCCGCAGCCTCTGCAGCGCCGGTTCAATCCCCAGCAACCGGCTAGGGTCCCTCATGGCACACAGACCTCTCCTGATGCGCCCACTGCTCCCCTCAGCAGTGTCCTCTGTCTGCCTGTTCCGCTTCCCACTCTGACTCTGGTGAATTCTCTCACCCTCCCGCGTTTCTGACTGTACCCAGTGCTTGTATAAATAAATAAATAAATCTTTAAAAAAAAAAAGAAGTTAATACAGAGAAAGAGAAAAAGGCAGTCAGATTAGCAGGTGAATGAGAGAATGAACTCTTGTGTTTTGAGTGCCTGCTAAGTACTAAACACCTTGTTAAAATACTTGTTTAACCAATAATTCTATTTAAGGAGGACTATTATGGCAAATACTAAGTTTTAACTCAGATGATTTCAGGTCTTAAGATCTAAAGGGACCTTTAAGACAGTGATCCCTTTCCCTGATAACCTGAGTGGTCACTTGCTCTCCACCAGGTATTGCTGGGTCCAAGCATCCTCATGTTTGTGTGACTACCTTTACTTTTATAAGGCTATATTCTTATATGAAGGGATTAAGTGCTATAGCATCAATTAAAATTGAACAAAATATTTTTTAATTAATCGCTCATGTGTATGAAGGAGGCAACTTCCCTTGTCTTTTTTATCAGCATGCTATATAATATTGTAATCTAGTCTTCTCTGTGAGCATGGATCTATTCCTTTCTAGTTCAACGCTAAAGATTTTATGATAATCATTTCTGTCATTTATGCTAGATACCAACTGGCATGCAATATGGTTCCTATCCAGTTCAATTCAACATGCCTTTATTTGGAACCAATCATCTTCTAGAGCTAGGCTGAATGCCTAGCTGGATCCAAGTGAAATAAAAATCTCATTCTTAGTCTTTAATGGGTTTGTAGACTGACTGGGAAAACTATATTAATGAGGTTTTGGCAACTAGAAAATTAGTAAATCAGACAAAGCAAATGTCCTGTAAGAGATCAGAGAGGCCATAATTAGCCAGATTTTTGGACAAGCTTTTTTTTCAGTGAATAAAGACTTTGAATGAGCTTTCTTTTTTTTTTTTTTTTTTTTTTTATAGAGGCATGCTTTATTTATTTGTTTTGCTGGTTTGTTTGTTTGTTTTGTTTATACATGCACTGGGTACAGTCAGAAGCGCGGGAGGGTGAGAGAATTCACCAGAGCCAGAGTGGGGAGCAGAGCAGGCAGAAGGACCGAAGTACACTGCTGAGGGGAGCATCGGGCGGCAGGAGAGGTCTGCGCACCATGTGGGACCCTCGCCGGCGGCCGGGGAGCAGCCGGGGATCGAACCGGCGTCGCAGAGGCCGCGGGCAGCTTCGCAACCCAGCGCTCAACCGCTGCGCCACCGGGGAGGCCCTGAATGAGCTTTCTGTCTAGTATGTTCTGAGTTCATTTGGTGGCTATCATAAATATTATGCCTTTATATATGTATCCAAAAGAAAGAGAAATATGAATGTTCTCAAAATGATGGGAAAGAGTATAAATGATATTTAGAAATACTAAGGCTTATCATACTTGTCCTTTTTTTAAAGTAATGTAATTTGGGCATAAAAAGAATTTTTTTGTGACTTTTCTATACTTCAACTCTTACATTTTCAAGAAACTGTTTTAAATCCAATATCATCAAAGTTATCCTATTGGTTTAAATCTAGAAGACTTTAAATGAAATAAACATGACTTTAACTTAGAAGTTGTAGATGTTTTTCTATAAGTGTTTTAGGTTGTCTCCTTGGTCAGTATTATTAAGGTTATAAATAATTTATTTGTATTTTCATAAGTTGTGCTAAATAATTCATTTTTTAGTTTCCATTATTCTCAGTGTCATGTTTAATTTTGAATTAAATTGTTGCATAACTGATCATATGACATTGTTCTGTAGCAACACTTTTGATCACTTATTTGTTCTGCTAAAATCACTGAAGTTCAGATTAAAAATAAACAGCTTTCTTCTCTTGACTGTTGACATCTTGAAATTTTTCTTTCCTTTCTAAAAAGATGTGAAATAACAGTCTTTTCTTGGAGGTAATGATGCTTCATGACTTAACTGTATGAGATTTCTCCTGAAATGTATTTATCTTTGCCTGTTAATTTACAGCCTTGGAGAATTGTTTTAAATAGTTAAGCTTTGTTACATAATATTAATGACCAATGTAGAAACTATTTTATTTCATTTCATGAATACCTTTTAAGCTTTTATTTGCTATAAGGAACACTGAGGTGGTCTCTAACTTTGCTCAATTGGTCATAAAGCTCCCTGATAACAGTGTATTCTAATTAATACTACTGGCCACAGGGTTGATTCATCAGTTTTTCTTAGCATATTTATTCAAGGGTGCATAAAACCAATTAAGCCAGCAAAGCCTAATGAATGAAATGTAATAATTTTTTATTTCTCTTATGTTGGAATGAGTCATTATCCTTTTATCATAATGATATGACAGGTCATTTGTCTTATTTTGTGTTAGAGGTTGGCAGTACTGCAAGACGGTTGTATGAAATGGGGAGAACAGAAATGAAGCAAGCGGTTTTCTTTCCCTGAACAACGTTATTTTTGGTCTCAGTGCTACTAACAACTGCCAGCAGTGGGGTAGAAATCTTTTCAGATTTTCTTAGCATATACATTTCAGAATCCTAGGAAAACAAATTTGATCCAAACTCTCATTTAGTTGAGAGCAATTTAATGACTCAGTTGTTTTGTAAAACATATCTTTACCTTGTGAATTACCTTCCCAACTTTCTAAAGTCAGGTTGTGAACATGCTCATTTGTAAGAAGTTTGAATAGAAGTATCACCCGTAATTCTGGTCTCTGGTCATCCTTCCTGGGGTTTAGTAGAAAGTGAGTAGGACTTCAGTGGGGGCTACATTCCTGATTCTTTTGTGATTTTCTTCTTACCAAATCCTGGTACTTTACAGAAGCAATTTCTCCAAAATCTCCAATTGATATTTCTTAATATCATTTAAAGCATTAGTTATCAATATTAATGATAGGATTTCTTTTAGTGATAGAAACATTGTTATTTCCAACTGCTGTCTTCTGAATACATCTTTTTTTTTTCCTAAATGTAAGGATCAGTAATTAAACAGCTCCACCCAAATTTGACTTATAAAACCTGAGGGCTAAAGCTGGAAAATCAGGAGAGTAGAGGCTGCCAAGGATTCTTGCCAAGGATCAGAGGTAGCAAAGAAACAGGATCCAATCAGAGGAACAGGGGTACCTATGAGAATCATAAACTTGAGGTCCAGAGATAGCCAGGTAAGAGCTAGAGGGTCAACTTGAACCAAATCCCCAAACAAAACTAGGTTTAGAGGCAGGAATAAAAGGAGGACAAAGATGGCAACTTGTTGAAAGTGAGATGCCAGCAGTTGTGCTGACTGTATGGTGCCAGCTGCATGGCTGATCACAAAGCAGCCCAGACCTAAAGTGCATACAAGGTGGTGGGGAAAGAGCTGACTTGAACATTAGCTAAGATGTTAAAGACATCACACAAATGTTATAGTAAGTCCAGAATAAAGAAAAAAGCACATGGAACCTAAACACTGTCTAGATAGTGGTACACTATGGAACGACCAGCAGCCTTTCTTATGCATTTCATAAAATAAGAACAGAAGTGTATGGCACTGCCTACTTCCCGAAATGTTAAATGGAGATCAGTACACAGTAATTCTCCACCTCCCCTCACTACTGCCAAAACCATAGTCTGAAAATTGATAAAATGTTGATGGGGACAGTTTTAATCTTACAATTATTTTAAAATCGGTTTATATGAATACTTTTAAGTATTGTTTAAGCTCTCCAGATTTTACCCAACCTAAAGAATGTTCTTTTTTTTTCTCCCTTGGTTAGGGCTTTGCCACACTCATTCGCGAATGGCCTGGAGATCTGTACAACAATTCAGTAATAGTTCAAGCAGTTCGTGATCACCTAAAGAAAGATAGCCAGAATAGGACCTTACTAAAAACCTTGGCAGAATTGTAAGTATACTTTAACGCTCTTTTCCCCAAATTAATCTACATGAAAAAGTGTTCATATTTTAGCTTCAGCAAATTCTGAGTGGGGAGGATGCAGAGGGAAGCAGCCTTTTTTTTTTTTAAATAAAGATTTATTTATTTGTTTATTTATTTATTTATTTATGCAAGCACTGGGTACAGTCAGAAGTGCCGGAGGGTGAGAGAATTCACCAGAGCCAGAATGAGGAACAGGCATACTGAAGAAGCACACTGCTGAGGGGAGCAGTGGGCGTGGCAGGAGCGATCTGCACGCCATGTGGGACCCTCGCCTGTGGGTGGGGATCGAACTGGCGCTGCAGAGACTGCAAGCAGCCTCACAGCCCAGCGCTCAACCGCTTATACCATTTTCCTATATTCACTAATATTAAATGCTTTCAGAAATATCCAGTGAACAACTAGAAAGTAAGGAAAAGTGTATGTGATTGTACATTGGTATGTGTTTCCCAGAGGAGAGGAATCCTAGTCATCAGAATTTGACAGAGGCAATGGTGAAGAGCAGTGAGGGTGCTGCCAGGTCTTAGAACCTCTCCGACTATTCAGTTTCCCAGTGAGTGAGGCCCTGAATTCTCTCTTATACTTGGCTCTGCATGTCTAAGTTAATCTCTCAAGCCTTAGACTCCTTATCAATCAGATAACATTTCCTTATGGGATGATTTTAAATTTTTAAATGAGATGTCTTAGCCAAGCTCTAAGCACAGTGCCGATGCTGTGAGCTGTCAGGGCTCAAAAAATGGAAGCTTGTTTAAATATTTTTCATTTTTATTAGACACTTTCAGTGACCCAGGTTTCCTGCTCTGTGCCTGAAATACAGAAACAGATAGCCTCAGTGCCTCCCCACTACCCCCAGCTTTGTCTAGTGAAACAAGACCTCAGATAACCTCAGGAAGACTGTTCCTGACCCAGCCCTTCAGCCTCAGCCCCTCGGGATTCCCACCCCATTTTTTGTGCCCAAGACCAAGAAACGTATATCAAAATGACTTAGAATTCGGGACAGTTTTAGACTTTCCACAGAGGAAGTCATGTTTGTGGCATTCTAAATTGGAATGCTAATCATCTCCGTCTAGAAACATTTTCCTAGATGTTCCTTGGGTTTTGTAATACTGAACAGTTTGCTAATAATACTAACAATTCTATAGTACTAATGGATTAACTGTATAATTCTGTTGGCTTTCAGAAACAGACTTAAGGAATTAATGTGATACAGCCCCTTTATAAATAAGTTTTTATTTCTCAGTTGAACTCTAAGAATTTTTAAATTTTTTTATTACTGAAGAGTTTCTTTCTGTATCAAAGTTTCTTTGACTAGTATATGGATTTCTATAAAACATACTTATATGAATTTCTATAAAACAAGCTTTGAGGCTAAGCTCCCAATAAAGAATATTTTTATTTCTCGAGTATTGTAAGTTTTGATGAGATAAGAAGCAAGATTCTGAGGAAGAAATATTTATCAGTCACATAAAGTTGAATTTCAAGCAGTGTTTTTCAAATTTTTCAAATTTGTCTTTCTAAAGAAGGTTTTCAACTTTTAAATACTGTCAAACATGATTTGTGTGTGTTTGTTTAATCAGAAGTGTTGATAAGTGTTGATAAACATTAATGTAATGATTTTTGTATTACCAGATACACCTATGACAAAAACTATGGCAATGCTCTGGAAATATATTTAACATTAAGACATAAGGATGTTTTCCAGTTGATCCACAAACATAATCTTTTCAGTTCTATCAAGGATAAAATTGTTTTATTAATGGATTTTGACTCAGAGGTAATGTATTTCTTACTTAAATAATTATAAATCATTTTACTGTTGCAATTTTTTAATAATTAGACATATATACAAATGCTGGGGTAGTTAACAAATTATATATTTTGACTGATGCTGATCATGTTCAAAACACTCTAACCCTCACTCGATATTATTTTAATAGTTGGCATTCAGGAGCCCTTCCCTTGATGTAGTTACACTGTAGAAACAAACATAATTTGATGTACAACTTTAAAAGTGATGTGAGTATGCATTTAAAGTAATTTTTTAGTAAAACACTTCTTAAAGACAAAGAAACTTGTTATATGGTTTGGCTCATTCAACCCTCTTTAATTGTATGTCCCAGAATTAACATTTTAAGTAAACTTCTATTTCAGATCAGTTTTATTCTTTCGCATTCACAGACTTAGCATGTGGAGTTTCCATTGTTCTTATAATGCTCAGGTCCAGATATGTGAGTGGGTTATTTCACTATAGGACAAATTAGAGAAGTGAATTACTTGATTAATAAGGGCATCCAACTTCCACAGCCTACAGTGACTCTTGTAAGGTGATAGAAACTTGTATGGGGGTGTATTTTTAAAAGGAAGTGAATAACAAATATTGGTGATAGAAATAAAGAGATTCATAAAGCACAATGATTTTTATTTGGCTAGTTGAAATGTTAGATAAATCAAAGAGTAGAACCCTTAAGACTCCAAAAGGGTTGCATTTTTCAGTTAGTTTTTGCTGTTGCTAGGGCTATTGTGTGCAGTGTTAGTCTTTCCCTATATCCATTCTGCCCTCATGCCTATCCCATCCTCCTATATGTCTCAAGAGCCTTGTTTTATATAGGAAGCTATGGAAAAAAGATGAATAAGTTGAAGCTAATTCTTATTTAAGAGTATAAACCAAAATTAAGGAAATAATAGAACTTTTTAATTAAAAAGTAATGTAAGGATTATGTCTTCCAAGACCTCCTATAATCCTGAGGAAAAATTTTTTTTTGAGGAGACAGCTAGGCAGTATAGTAGCAGTCCAATGCCTGACCCAGCTGTTCTGTATGAGGCTCATTCTGGTGAGAGGTAGTGTCTTCCCACTACCCCTTGCTACAAACACTGTCTAACTTGTGTTTCATGAATATGAAGGTGTCTAAAACAAATTCTAAAAATCCACAGACTTTATAGCATTATGAAACTTCATGTATCTTATAATTTTTTTTTGGACTCTTATCTTTCTCTCCACATTACACCTGCTCCTTGATCTGTGAAATTTATAGAGATTCAGGTGGTCAAAAGAAAAGCTCATTTTTGTACAATGTTTGCTTTCTGCTCTCAGGTGTACTCTCCATAAAATTCACACCATTAATTCACCTGTGAACCATCATGTAGTTCCTTGTGCTCTTCCCTCCCCGTGTTGATCCCTCTGCCTCCCCCTCCCTTACAGAATGTCTCTGATTTATAGTTGCCTGTTAATTTTGTTTTTCATTTATTATTTTTTCCTGATCCCTTATTTGGCATACATTGTACAAAAATGAACAATGATGTAAAATATATATTAATTAGTTAATTAATTAAAAAAGAACTCAACTACCAGTAAAAATAGTTTCAAAAGTTCTTGCTTATTTAAATGTTCTAAGAATATTATGCAGTCTATAAGTGTATGTCAAGAAAATGATTTTTAAAACAAATTTATAACAAGCAAGAGATTAAAAATAGTATGGTAAATATATCAAAATATAAAATATTCATTATGACTTTTTAATGGAAAGTTTTAATCTTAAGAAGACTAAAGTTTTGTGCATGCATAAAATTATCTGGGAGGAGCTAATAAGAAAATATTGAAAGTGTTTAACTCTGGGAATATAAAGCAGGGGTGGCAGGAGATACTTTATATTTTTATACACTCATTATATGATGTTTTATAATGTCATGTCTTTAAGAAACAAAAGAAATACTTGAAAAATAAAAAAGAAAGAAAAGCTCATTTAGGGGCCTCCCTGGTGGCCTAGGTGTTAAGTCTCCGCACTATCATCACTGCACCCTGAAATCCCTGGCTAGGGATCTAACCCACATCTCGCACAGCAGACTTCTCCTGTCTAGCCCACTGTTCCCCTTAGCTGTATATTTCGGTAAATCCACCTGCTTTGCTCCCCACTCTCTCTCTCTCTGATGAATCCTCTCACCACACCCCCACAACTTTGGTTCTTCTATGCAAAAATAAATCAGTAAATAAAATCTTTTTAAAAAGAAAAGCTCATTTATGTGGTACTGATTATGGCCTCCATAACTATTGAGAATGTGAAAATACCTTAGCTATCTAGGAGGCTATCTGTGTGTAGACAAGATGTTTTATATTTAGTGAGCTGTAGCAAAGCACCATTTAGTAGTATGCAAAGCTTATTGAGGCATATTTTAAAATGCATGTTTTTGTAAATATCTCAGTTAAGGGCCATTTGAAGCTGACCTCGTAAGGATGGAAAATGAGCCCTCCACCTTAAACTGTGTTAACATGTATAAAACATTGTGTCTGGTCTTCTGTGGCAAATTTCATTGACTATGGCTTTTTTTTTTTTTTTTTTTTTTAGAAAGCTGTTGACATGCTTTTGGACAATGAAGATAAAATTTCAGTGAGTGTCTTTTGTTTTTCCTATGTGTTCCCATATGACCATTATTGCCATGAAGAATAGAGATGATTATCAGACCATTTTGTAGCTGTGTTTATGCTCTTAACTCTGTTTAAAAATTTCTTTTTTCCCCAGATTAAAAAGGTAGTAGAAGAATTAGAAAACAGACCAGAGTTGCAACATGTGGTAAGTATGACATTTGCCATTTCGAGTAAATAATGTGACAAGTCACCTTTCAGTACTGCTGAGAGCATACTGGAGTGAACTTGAGGTTAAAACTCAGATTGGAAGTTTGACTCCAAAATATTCTGTAATTTATTTATTTATTTATTTATTTATTTATTTATTTATTTATTTTGTGGGACCCTCACCGGTGGCCGGGGAATGAACCGGCGCTGCAGAGGCTGCAGGCAGCCTCGCAGCCCAGTGCTCAACTGCTGCACCACCAGGGGAGGCCCTTCTGTAATTATTAAAATGTAGTATATGCTCTGAATTCAGGCTAGGGCTGAAATACAGATCAGGTACTTTAACACTGACTTACAGTGAAATTGTAATTTAAATAAAAAGTTATATTCATTTTTGTGTTATCAAACTGTGCCCTAGGAGTAAGCACCTTCCTCTTCTAGTTACCATTTAATATAATAATGTCAAAAATTATAGCAGTGCCCCAACATGTGCCCTGCACATAACAAGTTTTGCTGCCAAGGAAATACCACACACAACTATTCTATGCTCAAGAACACAAAATAGTCAAAGACCAGAGCCTCATTTTTTTGTCCCTCACCCTGACACTGGTGAATCTCACTTCTCTTGTACAGTTGTGCTGTTAAAGCCTATTATTCTAGACTATCTTTGGGGGGGCTACTTTAATTCTCTGCATTGTTCTCATAATGGGACTAAAGAAGTATGTCCTTTAAAAATTACACAAGAAAAGGCTTAAATGAAAATTAGAATTATAACAATAGGACTGTGGGTATATACAGGCATATGTGATGAGCACACTAGTGTCTTTGCCCACTTCTTTGTTCCCCAGGAGAAGGCTCTATGAATAGAGTATTTATTCAAAAGTCAGTTTTATACATTGAAGTTTTTGAGAACTCTGGAATAGGAATTTGATGTACTTTGATTTTTGCTTGAGTCATGCAGATGGCATTGCTATGTTGTTCATGATTGGAAATCTCAAGATTATCTACTTAAGGTGCCACTATGCCAGCCACCTAGGTATTTGTTGATAAAGCAATGATTCTAACCTACTTAAGCCATGAGATAGGACTATGCGCAGTAGGTGTCTGTGTGACTGTAATTAGTCCAGTGGTGAAACGGTGGCAGAGCACATGCTAAAACGGCTCATCTTCCCCGTCAAGCTCTGTAATGTCTATAAATTTGCCTGGGCAGACGTGACAGAGCCTTCCCCTCCTGTTAGTGCCTCTGGGAAACAGCTTACCCTTGACCCTGATGCCAGTGGACAGATAGGGGCCTTCATTAGACCACGTAGAGTTCTGTCTGACTGCTCTTACCCCCACTTCTCACCTTAAGGGGACAAGAACAGTTATATGAAGAGTGGCTTTTCAATGTGCATGTGACCCAGTTAAGCTTATTTAGTGATTATACACAGTGAATGTCAAATGTCAGCTGTCTTATAGCAGTCACAGCTTTGGGGCAGGCAAATACTCTGTGTTTCTTATGTATCAGTCCACTCAAGGTGTGAATGCATTTTCAGTCATTCTGTGATTAAGTCTCCCTGCCTCCAGGGGGCTGTGAGGTGTTTGTTTACATTTTACATTAATTGGACATCGAACATTGATCGCTAACTTCTGCATAATACATTGACAGACTTAATCTTGCCTCTGAGTAGAAAGTGAATTACTCACTTCCTTTGAGGTCCATTAACTTTTCCAGACAGCTTATGGTAATGAATCAGTTTTGAAAATTGCTGCAGAATACTGATGCCCTTTTGAATTTTTATTTTTTAATTTTGTTTCTGAAGTTGCCAGTCTAGGCAACATTTTATTGCAAACAGAGGTCTCATTTAGACTTAACAGGGAGGAGATGCAGAATTAGGACATTTTATTTAGTGCTCACTGCTTGAGTTTTTTAAGAACATAAATCTGTCCTATAACTATCCCCTTTTATATAAAAGATGGAAATTTTTATGATCTGAGAAGACCGCTAATCGTGCATTTCACAGAGGATGGTGACAAAATGAACAACTTACTATGATTAACTTACTATCTGTAGTGCTTGGAATAGGCCAGGCCTAGTTCAAATAATTTACAAATGGTGTAACTCATTCAATCCTCACAACACCCCAATAGGAGTTTTCAGTGGTAGAGCCAGGTCATTAGGGCCATGCTAGAGTGTGTGTCAGTCTCTCCTTGCTCCCCCAAAGGCATTCTCCTTTCCCCTTCTTCACCTAGAGAGTTTTTCCAACAACTGTATCTACCCTACCCTCTCCAAGAAAGCTGTCTAGGAAAAATAGCAATGTTGTACAGATATTACTTTTCTTATTTTAATATTTGTAATTTATTCCTTTGTTCCTTTTAGTACCTACATAAACTTTTCAAGAGAGACCATCATAAGGGTCAGCGCTATCATGAAAAACAGATCAGCCTCTATGCTGAATATGATCGTCCAAACTTGCTTCCATTTCTCCGAGACAGCACCCATTGCCCACTTGAAAAGGTAAGTCTCACATACCCCCACTCACATGCTTCAGGTGAAGAAGCTGTCATTGTCAGTCAGCTATTCGTCATTATAGTTTTCCTGCCTCTGTTCATCCATCCCTTTTTTAGGGGGTATGGTTGTTCTCAAAGACATAGATTTGGCCAGAACATTCTGCTGAGAAGTGGAGGTCCTGTTGGATTGGGGAGGACCCCAAACATTTCTGTGACATGTTTAGTTAAAATAAAGGTTTCATCTAGGGTCTAGACCTCAAATAACCAACAAGAAAAAACTACACCAGGAGTCTCAGTCAGTTATCAGGATCAGAGTGGGTGGGCCTTAGAGTCAGCCAGGAGGGAGACACAGGCTGTCCACGTCAGAGACACTTTCCCCAATAGGGACGCCGTTGGCTATCTTAGGCCCTGCCCTCTGTCTGCTTTAAATACCCACCTTATGTATTTCTCTATTTCCCTATCATGTATATCCCCTTGTAATTACAATAAGTATACCTACTAGTCTCCTTTTCCCACTAACCTATAAATTCTTCAGGGACAAGATGGATGTTGTCTTACTCAGTTCAGTAAACCCAATAGCCAGCACACTGTAGACACTTAATCAGTGTCTGTATCATGAGTGAGTGAATAAATGAGTAAATAAATAATAAGAGGTGCTAGTTAGAGCCGCAGGTGAACTTGTAAGTTTTGTGAGACTGCTATTTCAAAGTAAACTATCGATACAATACTTAAGTGTATATGTATTAGCAACCAGGTGATCTGAGGCCATCAATATTGAATGCAGTTCAACACTATCTGGAATGCAATTTAACATCTTGAAGTATCTCATAAAATTCATATGTTCAGATAATAAGTACTTTTTAGCCAGCTGTAAAAGAAAAGTCATGCATGACCCTTAAGATATATATATATATAAAGAAATTAATTGATAACTTGCAGTTTGTGGCACTCACGACTTTCATAGATGATTTTTTAGCCCATCATGATTAACTTTTAATTTTATTGAATTAACTTTGAACCAATTTCAGTTCAATGTATTTTCGAAATTTACAGTTAATGAAAAAATAACGTGCCTACATATAAACTTATGAAAAGCTTTAAATCTTTATATTTGGTCTCTAAGACATTTTTTAAGAATAAATTTGGAAATATTCTAAAAATCAGGTGTCTCTCTCCCTCTTCTCTCATTGTAGAATGTCATCTAAGATGTGATGAGGATCTTACTGTGTGAGTGCCCCCAGCATTTGTGTTTCAGTTTTGGAGGGAAGGTGACTTGTTTCTGGAGAGGGCCTGGCTGTATCCAGCTGATCCTCCCACAAGAGGAACATTAGAAAAAATATGGCGCTGTAGGTGCTTATATTACCTAGAACTCACTTAGAAAATTGGATAGATCTTCTAGAAGTTTTCCCTCTGATCCACTGAAAAAGACCAGTTGCATATAAAAGAACTCAACATAGGACCCCCTGGTGGCGCAGGCTGTTGTGTGCTGCACTGTGAAGCTGTCCGCAGCCTCTGCAGTGTGGATTCGTTCCCAACCGGCCAGCGAGAATCCCACATGGCAAGGCAGACCTCTCCTGTCTCACCTGCTGCTCCCCTCAGCAGTGTATTTCGTCAATCTGCCTGTTCTGTTCCTCACTCTGTCTCTGGTAAATCCTCTCATCCTCCCTCCCGTGCATCTGGCCTGTGCCCTGGTTCTTGTATAAATAAATAAATCTTAAAAAAAAAAAAAATAATAAGCATACTGAAAGCAATTTTGCTTTAAATAGTTTTTATAAAATATTCAAGTCAATGATCCACATTTTTAGAATTCTCTAAATGGACCTTCATAGTACAAGTTGTTGAGATTTCTTCCTAAGAGATTGTTTCTTCATCAGGATTCATTTGTAAAAAACATGACACTCTCCTTGTAGAAGCACCCAAAGCCATCTCAAAGGATATATTCTTGACTTTATTAATTCGTGAAAGATCTCTTCCTTTTTCCTTAGAAATAAGAGCTCTATATGCAGTTCATCATCATCTTAGAGACTAATTCCTTCTATTACTCATAACATGAAAAAGCTATTATATATATCAATTCATGAAAAGCAAGTAGATTTTCTCCCATTATATATGCCCCAAGCAGGTTCACAGTGAAGAGGTGATGAAATACAGGCTGAGCTGTATTGTCCAAAGAGAGACTCAAAAGATTTATTAATTTAAGCAAATTAAGCTCTTCTAGAATTTTAATGCTTTCCCCCCACCACACGCGCACACACACACATGCACCCAACAAAGAACTCTCCAGTTCAGAAGAGTTTATAGAGTATTTATTCAGAGGATGTAACCCACTGTTGTTAATAATTCACTTCTGGCAGAATATCAACTCTGCCTCATTCCAGGTTTTCCACCTTTGCAAGGATGGGGTTGTTGTTGAGAGAGGTGATTTAAAATGACAAATGGTTGAAGTCTTGAAGAATCCAGGTCAATCTTATTTAGAATGAAATAGATAAAAATCCCAATATCAATAGTATTTGGCCAAAAACTTTGTTTGCAAAGTTTTTACAGAGACCCTTATACCACATCGTAAGTTCTTTGGGGATGTAATTATCAAGGACCATCTTTTAGGGTTTAAAAGTGATTACAACTCCTAAATTCCCAAAATAGTCATAAGATTTTATGAAATTGTTATCGGAAGAAGATACTTTTTAGGAATTTATAGAGTCTACAGCAGGTTAAGAAGACAATTTTTTGTTGTGCTGTACTTTCATGTACTTTGTTTTTTATTTACAAAAGTGCAGGTAGTTGTGTAGAGTCATTTTATAAATGACAAGCTGAGTAGTCCAGATTTGAAGAAAGCAACCTGAAGTCTAGAGCTCATAAGCCAAACCTGGATCTCTTAACTTCAGATCCCTTATTTCCACTATGGTCAGGAATCATTTTTCAGGTTTAGAAAGCTAATTAAGATAATAATAGCTACAGTAATAGTACAATATTCTCCCCTATTGCGGTGCATATATTCAAAACTCCAAGGGGTGCCTGATGCCACAGATAGTACTGAGCCCTGTATATGTTTTTTTTTTTTCCTATGTGCTCATACCAGTGATATATAAATTAGGCACAGTAAGAGATTAAGAACAACAGTTAAGAATAAAATAAAGCAATCATAACAACATACTATAATAAAAGTTATGTGACTGTGATCTGTCTCTCAGAATATCTTACTGCTCATAATATTTTCAAACCAAGATTGACCACAGGTAACTGAAACCATGGAAAACAAAATCTTGCATAAGGGGTGCCTACTGTGAAGATATTCCTTAATATTTCAAGAGTCGTGACAGACTTTCATTTTTAAACTGTCAAACTATCCTTTGTTTTTCTTTTTTTTCCCCCCAATAACTTCTATGTGTAGGCATCAGGGATTAGTTTTCTTTCTTTTTTTAAATGTATTTTTTCTATATATTTTATACATCATTGTTCATTTTATACAGTGTTTGATTTCTCCTCTCTAGTGTAGGGGGGACTAGTTTTCATTTGCAAATCTGATTAGCTTACACCTAGAATAATTAAAAGCAGAGATTCAACTTTATAGCTTTGGCAAATTTTACCTTAATTTATGACCTTTCTGATACCTAATCGCATTCACAAGGTGGCAGTATTTGTAAATTTGGAGGAATAAAACTGAAACATGCAGAGCTCATAGATTTTCATTAAAGAAGAGAGGATTACATAAAAGATGACAGTCAAGATGAGGCACAAATCATTGTTTAATTTATAGTTGATAAGGCTTCTGTTACTCATCCCCAAATTTTTTACTAAATCAGGAAAAAAAATAAAATTTTTTTATGACTTTTTATTCAATTTCTGTCATTAAATTGTCTTTTCACTTTTATTTTTACTGTTCTTTCCATGTGTTTGGGGGAGTGACTAAGTTTTAGCTTCCCCACTCTTTCCTCTAGAGGGAGCACTATAGTCCCAGAACATTCAAGAATAAAATAAGGAAACATGTTTTTCTGCTTCTTTTGTATCAATGATGCAAGTCTATTACCAGAAACACTTTCTTCTTACCCTAAAATTTATAAATATTTGTAGTCTCTACTTTCTCATTTATGAGAAAAGAATAATTTAAGGTACTTTTAGAAACTATTCATAAAACATTTAAAAATCTGTTTAGTTCAAATTTCAACAACTCAGATTATCTTTGAGCTTGGTGTTATACATCTGTCTGCATTCCAGACCACTCAAACTTACCTTAACACTTTTATTCCTTCCTGCATTATCATTTTTCATAGTATCCTCAAAGAGCTTCTAATGTTACACTGTAGAATGTTCTATAATGATGGAAATGTTCAAGAGTCTAATTGTCTAACCAGGTAACCAATAGCCACATGTCACTGTTGAAAATTTGAAATGTGGCTAGTGTGACTAAAGTATTGAATTTTTCATTTATCTTAATAGCCACATCCGTGGCTGCTGTCTTATTAAGACAGCTCAGTGAGCCTTCAGACAACAAACTCTGTGATCTCATACAAGCCTGCTCTCCAGCATTCTGACATGCTGAAGAAAGGGGTGGGGGTGGTAACTTGTTAGAAACTTCTAAGTGGCACATTTAAAGTGTCAGTAAATTTGCAAGTACAAAGGTGATTTTTGATATCTTGTAGTGATAAACAAGCAGTGCATTCATCTTTATTCATACCCTCTTCTTTAATATTCTACCTCTCCAGTGGTGTTGCCATTTTCTCTGTATCTGTGAGTGACAATCCCACTGAACCCTAAACTGCCTTCTGTCCCTCTGCTGCTAGAACAAATCTGCTTTGTTGGTTTCCCAATAAATTTTTGTTGAAATAGCGCCAGGTCCTCTGAATTTGTATTTTTGTTCTTACCATTTCACTTTTCATCTCTGTATTCTGTCACTGCAGAAGAGTTAAAGAGTCAGTAAAAATAGTTCCATTGTCTTTGATGATGAATTATGGGCATAAAGCATAGGGAGAGATAAACCCTTTTTTAATCAGAATGAAGGAGGGTTTTCTAAGGATTAGCTAAGATTAGGTTCAACTATGAGTGATCAAAATCCCAACATAAAGTGGCTTAAGAAAAGTAGCAGTTTAGTTCTCTGTCAAATGCAAGTCCCAGTGGAGTGACCCTGCTGGTGGTGACCTCCCATGGGGTCAGAAACTCGGCTCTTCTCTCTGGACACTTCACCTGGGGTCCTTGTCCTCGTGATGTAAGAAGGAATTATCCAGGGTTCCAGAAGCAGATTGCATGAAAGAATTGAAAACAAGAACAGGTTCACTCACACGTAACTGCTTCTTAGAGAACAGCCTGGAAGTTGCCATTCCTTTCATCTCTGTGGGGTAGGTTGTCACATCGCTCTCCTACCACCGAGGAGGCTTGGAGACTATTTTTTTTTTTTTAATTCTGAGCAGTTACACACCCACCTAAAATCATATTAGAAGAAAAAATCATATGTAGAAGAAATAGGAAAAAGATGGGGGGTGAGTGCAACTCTGACTCTACCACATGAGTTTTGAAAGTAATCTTACGTGTTTTGAAAGGAATTACGGGTTTTCTCCTCATTGTGACCTTCAGGTCTTCTCACTTCCTCATTTAAATGGTTTGTGTATACTTTAAAACACCATCCTGATCTCATTGCAATTTTAAGTAAGATTTTTTTTTCCCCTTTTTGTGTTTTGTTGCTGCCTTGATCTCTATGATCAGCCTTTTTTTTTCCCTTTTAGCTCTTAATCTACAACCAGAGACACATTTAAATCTTCCACACACAATCTTTATTTAAGTCAAATATCTATTTCCTGGTATTATTTCCGAGATCTCCATTAAATGAAAAAAATAAATGAACTTGTATTTGTTCTTTTTATCCTATCAGTCCTTGTTTTTAAATGCTACTCTGACCATGCAACCCAATAATCATTTTCCTGGAGCCTTTTGCTGCCTGCTTGTTTATTTGAAAGCTATTTCTTGCACACCTACTGTAAGGCATTATTGTGCTAAGCATGTGGATTGGGGTGGGCATGACCCATCCAATAGGAATTAGACCCTGAGGGAGCAGCCATCACATAGTGGTTAAGTGTTGTAAAGGACTGCATGGTCATGAGAGTTATCTCCAAGGATTGTTTGTCTGAAGTACTTGAGGGGTAGAGAGTAAGGCGTGAAGACAACATTTCAGACTGAGGGCCCACAGTAGAGTATGAGACATGTGAAGCTGCCCAGAAAGGCAAGGCTAAATAGCTGAAGCCTTGCAGGCCACAGGAAGGAATCTCAGATTTAAATGAAGTCCAGTTACATAGGGGGGTAAGAGATCAGATTCTTCTTGAACACTCTTGCTTATCATACTACACCCAGCTCAGATGCCATCTTTTCCATGAAGCTTTGTATAAAAGGGCCACACCAGAGCTCAGCATCCCTTATCTCTGCACCTGTTCCTGATTCATGTTCCCCTGGTCATGGAATTTTATTGTCACCTTCCTTAGCCTATGCCCCCTCAGACACACTTAGGCGGCCTTCCTTCCTATGGAGTTACCTCCTTCTGGCTGTCCCCCTTACGTGTCATCATCATCATCAATATTCTTACCACGCTCATCTTTGCACCTCTGTCCAATCAGACCCTCCAGTGCCCAGCCTATAGTAAATGTGTGTCAGCTGATACAGATTATTGAATAAAAACACAGTTTCTTGGGCCTCCCCGGTGGCGCAGCGGTTGAGCGCTGGGTTGCGAAGCTGCCTGCAGCCTCTGCAGAGCAGGTTCAATCCCCGGCTGCTCCCCGGCCACCAGAGGAGGGTCCCACATGGCGCGCAGACCTCTCCTGCCGCCCGCTGCTCCCCTCAGCAGTGTACTTCGGTCCTTCTGCCTGCTCTGCTCCCCGCTCTGGCTCTGGTGAATTCTCTCACCCTCCCACGCTTCTGACTGTACCCAGTGCATGTATAAACAAAACAAAAACAAACAAACAAATAAATAAATAAAATAAAACATGCCTCTATTAAAAAAAATTTAAAAAAAAAGTTAAAAAAAAAAAAACACAGTTTCTTGTCTTTCTTATACACAAGGAAATGCTGTCATCTAAGATGTCCTCATTTCTTTACTCGATTTCCTCCTTGATTGTCGAAGGTATTTCTTCCCTCTCACTTTTCATAGCTTCTTGAGCAGAGTTCTCTTTTAAACCCTATGAGCTGCCACTAGCAGTATTCCTAGCGTTTATTTATGCATGCAGGCAATAAATGTTTACTGAGCTGTGGATATTCCACACTGGGAATATGCAGCAGTGAACAGCAGTCTTTTCATGGAACTTAGTACATTCCAGCAGAGGGAAACAGAGCTTAAACCAGCGACTGTGGATTAGCTGGGAAGCAGTGCTGTGAAGAGGTAGCATGGCAGAAAGAGAGAAGGCTTGGTGGGAGAGGTCTTTTCTCTCAGCATCTAGCTTTCTGCCCTTATTTATGGAATGTTTTGTGTTGCCTCGAATATATTAATAGTTAAATTGTGTAGGATGTGGCACCTCTCTGAGAGCTGAAGAGCCAAACCTAGAGATTTATATTTTAGTTGCTGCTTTTGTTTTGTTTTTAAAAGGGAGGTAAATGGGGAAATTCTTTCAAATTTGTATGTTTAAGTGATTCTGTTAATATTGATTCTAGTTTTGTAACCCATAGTAACATTTTTACCCTGCTTTATTTGAAGGCTCTTGAGATCTGTCAGCAGAGAAACTTTGTAGAAGAGACAGTTTATCTTTTGAGTAAGTGGCTTTTATTCATTTTGTTCTCTGTCAACTAAGAAAAGGAGTGACAATGTGATGTGAGCTGTCTAAGAATGAACGTAAGTTTAAACTGAAGTAACACAGAGGCAAGAGCCTATTTTATATATGAATTTAACACATGGAAAGGAGACTTCACAGCTCACCAGACAAGGAAGAATTGTTTAGTAAACGCTGTTGAAAAAACAGATTGGTATTGTGGTATAAACAATAAAATTGTATCTCTTCATATTCCTCACGTCATGAAATAAATTGTAGACAAGTTGATAAGTTGTTCATTTTTATTTAAAAAAATCAGCTTATGTTATCATCATCTTGGTAGAAAATACTGTTCATTTCCAAAAATTATACCCTAACTAACTAGAGGAAATACAATTAAATATCAAACTTTTGGCAGAGAGGAGAATTTTTTTTTTTTTATTATAATCTAATTCTCTGTTGTCCTTCATCTTTGGGCTGCCTCCATCTATCTCACGAGACACAGAACTTATTATTAGGTTTCTGAAAATTTCCTAGGGAAGGTCTAGGCAGACATTTGTAGCATAAATAATAGAGTTCATATTAGGTGTTTCTCGAACACCCTTCTGGGCCCTGCTCTGGTAAAGTATAGTCTTTCTACTTTAAATCTTTCCCTTATATCGCACGTAGCCTCACTGGTACCTTGGGATGCCATCATGAAAAATAATCTAAATCTTCTGCCCGTGCATACACATATGCAGTTTCAAGGGTCCAAGCACCAATCGTAGGACCGCCCGTCAGTTATAGGGTCTACCTTCCTTAGGAGAAAACATTTCAGGGACTGTTTTATTACTCGAGTAAGTTCTTGGCACTCTAATCACAACTTCAAGTAGCTCTTCAATTTGCTTCTTCCAGAGTCCTTTCTAAGAATTTTATAGTAGTTAAGTTTTTATCATAATGTCCTATTATCTGAGAAGCACTGGAGAAATTATAAAGGAAAACATTCGCCCTTTTTAAGTCATAAAAACTTTAAAATACTATATACATTTTAAAAAATAACCTTTTTAAAAGTATAGGCTATGGAAATTATCTTTGTAGAAAAAAACAAAATGCTGTAGAAAGTATAATAAATAGGATATCATTTTATTCACAGGGCATTGTCATCAGTTGATAATGACTCCCTAAGTGAGAAGGGTTTAAGCCCATTTATCAATAGTTTCTGCTGCAGGCCAGGGCCCAGGGATAAGGATAACAGTCCACAGCTGAGCAGTTACTGTCACTCCCTCCACTGAGTAAAACTTTATACATGTATATATTAAAAACTCATGAAAATTGTTGACAAAGCCATAAAAATACCAGTAGATCAAAAAGCCAAGTGTAAAGGTAATTAACCAAGTAGAAGCAGAAGTGGTAAATATTTTCATTTCATAAAGGTTGTTAAACAGATATCCCCTCAACTTGGAAGAGGAAGAAAAGAGTTTACAGTTAGTGGAGTTTACAGTTGGCACAAACTCTATCAGCTCAATCAATAGACAAAAGTACCTAAAGAGACAGAATGACTCCAGGACCTATCTAAGTGAGCATGAAAGTATCAAAAGAAACATCAGAAAGAAGTCAGACTCTCACAGATCTGTGTTCAGGTTCCAAATCAGCCTCTCAGATGCTATGTCATCTGGCTAATAATTAACACTTCAATTTCCCCTTTTGCAAAAGAGAAATATTAGTAGAACATACCTCATAGAAATCCTGTGATGATTAAATGATATAATCCTTATGAAGCACTTAAATGAGTACTCAGCACAAAGCAAACACCCAGTAAATACGAGATATGTATTATGCCATCTTATGGATAGTAAATGTTAATGTCACATGTCTTATTAATGTATCTTAAATTAAATATTTTTCACATCTTTGCTAGGCCGAATGGGTAATAGCCGAAGTGCCCTGAAGATGATCATGGAGGAATTACATGATGTTGATAAAGCAATTGAATTTGCCAAGGAGCAAGATGATGGAGAACTCTGGGAAGATCTGATTTTATATTCTATCGACAAACCACGTAAGCAGAAAATCTATCTATAATGTTAACTTTTTTCTTTCACATGTAGAGTTAAGAATTACTTCAAGCCATATTGGGTTCAAAATAGAAAGTGCCTGTAATAATAATGGGCCAGGAATATTGTAATGATTGCTATTACTCCTCCTGTGCGGAGAAGCCCGGACCTTCATGACTTTGCTTTATCAAATGAATATGATAAAGGACAAGTGGTTAACCTGATAATATTAACTATGTCCCCATGATACATAAGCATAGTTCAATTGCTGCAATCAGATTGGATAAATGTAATCTGCCATGGTTTTGTTTTATTTTTTTCAATTTGTATAATGGGACATTTATTTTGAAGTATCCTATAGCCCTTGTCAGTCTCTCTTTTTGGAAACACTTAACTGTCACTGGATATTGACCACACCTGAGGGTTTGCTGTTGTATTATTTATCTCTCTTTCCTGCTCCACTCTATGCAGCACCGGGAGTGTGTATTTGTTGGCCTTCCACTTGACCATTTGCATTGGGTTTCCCATTTTGGAAAGAAGCAAAAGATAGTCCCCTAACTAAACCCAAATCCTCTTTTGTAGATATAGAAATGATTCAGCAACTAGTTGTTTAAAATCACTAATCAAATAGTCAAAAGCAATGGTTTAAAAATTTCCTTTCTTTCATTTTGGGGGGGAAAGGTTTATCTATTTCAAAATTTTCAAGTTCTAGAAATTGCTGTTGTGATTGTCTTTTTAATCAGAAATACAAGTAGATAATGTTGCTGAAGCCATTTTCATACTAAGGCAATTACACAAATATCTTTGAAAATCTTTGCATGCTGAAATAGTATTTTAAGAATCTTAAAGGAGTCAAAGTGGATAAAGTGGATGTAATGGAACACATCATGAACTTGGATCTGTCATGGGTTTGAATTTGGACTTAGGTGACCCTGAATGTATTCACCACTCCATTTCCCTTTTCCATAAAATGGAGACAAATAGCAGAACAATGGGGAAAGTGTGTTTGTTTTGTTTTGTTTTGAATTTTTGCATAGAATAACTGAGTATAGGCCAGAGGTGGGGGAACAGGGAGAGAGGATTTATCAGAGACAGAGTGGGGAGCAGAACAGGCAAATATACTGCGGAATAGAGCAACAGGCAAAACAGGAGAGGTCTGCTGTGCCACTGGGTTATCTCCGTGGCCGGGATCGAACTCTGGCCACAGTGGTGATAGTGCTGAGACTTAACCCCTAGGCCACCAGGGAGGCCCCTGGTACACTCCTTTAAAATAGCCAACTGTATTCTTTTTTATGTCATGAGGAATGTAAGGTTAGATTTTTTTTTTTAAGGTAGAAATTTAAATGGTTTTAACATCTGAAAGGAAGTGATTTTTTTAAACTTACTTTTGGCCTACGACTGCATTATATACGTTGCTTATATGGTGCTTTTTGTGGTATTTTTCAGCATTCATTACTGGCTTGTTAAACAACATTGGCACGCATGTTGACCCAATTCTACTTATTCACCGTATTAAAGAAGGAATGGAGATTCCCAATTTGAGAGATTCCCTGGTTAAAATTCTGCAAGACTACAATTTACAAGTAAGTATCCTTTCTTGGACAGACAAACACTGAGTAATTTGGCTGGCTACTAGGTAAATATTTCAAAGGATTTATTTTAGGTATCAAAGAATTCAGTTTGATAGTTACATTTTATTTAGGATCAACTATTTGGAAAATTGTTCCAATAGAGATATTAGAAATAGCACCCTTTAAGGAACTCATCCAATTTTTTGACCATCTCTAACTTTTGTCTTCTTGATGAACAGATTTTCTCACATTGTTGTGGTAAATATAGCATGGTGTTGAGGAACATGTGGGAGTAGTTCAGTCGCTGTCAGATCTGACCATAAAAGACATTTTAAGTAGAAAGAACATTGGGGGAATAAAAATTTGGTTTTTGAATAGTTTGTCGATTTCCTTCAAGCTACTCAGTAACCCAGTGGCTGAAATACATTTAAATACAGGATCTTATTTAACCTTTTGTGTTTTTTCTAGACTAATACAACTTTATTACCTATAGTAATTCAGAATTTATGATAAGAGTGATGAAGTGCGTATTTTCATATAAATAATTAATATGCTAATACAAAGTATTCTTATCTAAAATGACTAACAATTGTTATTTTCAGAATGCCGGTGATTTCAGTAGAACTGGAAATTATTTAAAGCACATTTCTTTAAAAATTCAGACTGTTCTTTTACTACTTCATTTGAAAAATAAATGCTCATATATAGATGAAATTGCTTTCCTGGAAACAAAGATGTTGCAGATAGAGCCAAAAGACAAGATGATGGGCAGAGAAATGGTTTCAGCTTCAGTAAGGAAAAGAGCATCAAGAGATGGCTTAGGCGATATAGTCACCATGAAGGGTGTAGAGTGGTGGCTCTGCTAAGAGACAGGGTGAAAGGAGAAGAAATGGAGAAAGATTGATGGCATCAAGAAGAGTTGTAAAAACATAAAGGAATGACAGAGCTGCATGAGTTTGTGACCAGGGTATGGGAAATTGTTACATTGAACTTTCATTTTTTTTTAAGAGATTTATTTATTTTTTATACCAGCACTGGATACAGTCAGTAGCGCAGGAGGGTGAGAGAATTCACCAGAGTCAGAGTGGGGAGCAGAACAAGCAGAAGGACCAAAGTACACTGCTGAGTGGCGCAGCGGGCTGGGCAGGAGAGTTCTGCGTGCCATGTGGGACCCTCACAGGCAGCCGGGGATCGAACCGGAGCTGTAGAGGCTGTGGGCAACTTCGCAGCCCAGTGCTCAACCGCTGCACCACCGGGGAGGCCCTACCTTGAAATTTCCAAAGGTGTCATCATTGTGGATATCTTTAAAAAGTAGGTGAAGGTAAAGGTCCCTGGAGTGGAATTAATTGAGAAACTGTGAGACAATAATGAATCATCCAAGTAGGCATTGAGGAATGTGGGTTGGTGGGAGCCTTTCAGCCAGGCTCCAGCATTCTCCATGAACTGGGGCTAAGCCTGTCAGTCTTCCTGAAGGCTGGGATGTCAGAAAACAAGGAATCTTCATTCAGGGGGCTTGTGAGAAATCAGTCATAATAGAAAAAATGGGTATTTGATTAAGAAAAGAAGTAGCGGAGCTAATCTACAAAAAACTTCAAGACATAGAGCTGTTTATTTGCAGTGGAATTTGGAGGTTTGCAAAGGACTTGGGGAAAGAATATGGGAAGGATGATGAGAAAGGCCAGGAAGAAGAGTAATGTGGGCAGAAAAGTGACCTGGACAGGAAATAATTCGTTAATTCTAAGGTTAGGAATTGGCTTTGGTGAAAGAGGTTTCAAAGTCAGACCTTATAAAGTTCTAGGTGAGAGTGGGCTTGATAATTATCCATATTTTATTTAGCATCCGTAGGTTTGCCAAGGCATTCCAAGTTTCAAACCTAATGTGTTGAGAAGGCACTTGGGTGTTTCAGAACATCTCTACCAAAAAGAGGTGATGAATAATTACATTTCTGTCTTCTAGCTCAATAGCACATCAAGTTTCACCTCTAGGTTGCAAAATGTGCCTTACTTTTCCCTTAGCCTTCATAATGCCTGCAAAACCACCTAATAAGTTCCTCTTACTAGGCTCTTCCTCTAGAGAACCAAGCTCATCAACATCCCTGAAAGATCACTACCTATTTTTTTTTTAATTGAGGTAAGTATTGGTTTATCACACTGTATGTGATTCAGAGGCGTAAGACCACACCTCAAATGCGTGGTTCCACACCACGCCCTCCACCAAGGCACCCATAGTTCCCACCACAGTCCATTGTGCCCTCTCCCCACTGTGTATTCCTCCCTCCCTTTTTTGTAGCAATCCACAGTTAGTTTTCTAGGGTTTGTTATTTGCTTTGATGTTGTCTCACCCTTTGTTTTGTTTCTCTATATTCCACGGATAAGTAAAACCATCCAGTATTTATACTAATTTCCATATCCATCCATGTTGTTGCAATAGTGAGAGTTCACCCTTTTTTATTACTGAGTCGTGTTCCATTCTGTATATATACCACATTTTTATTCATTTTTTATGAATGAATATGCATGGTTCTGAGTCAACTGGGAATGAAAATAGTATTATTAGGTGCAAAATGAATTCCATGTAAAAACTACCCACTAAGACAGTTGCTAAGTCAATTTTTTTATCCTCTTATTATGTTTTAGAATATACTAAGAACTTTTTCTTAGGATATGTAAGTATGCAGTTAGTGATATGTAAAAGAGCCAAGGAGTTATTTAGCCAGTGGGTTCAAAGAACAATGGCTACCTAGAAATCAAGGAGTAAATCAATCCAATCAAGGAGTACCTTCTGAGATGGTGTGGGTGGGATCCTCAAGGACAGTGATAGAGCTTGTGGGAACTGCCACCCTCAGTCTCCACTGGAGAGAAAAAATGCTCTGCTGGGGACAATTGTTCAAAGAGTTCAAGGGGTACTTCTGACTTATATATGAAAAAAAGAGCTCAGAACTTTTTTCCCTCTGGAAAAAGTGACTCTTTTTATTGGTGATGATTTATTTTCATTCTCTAGGCACCCTATTAGGGAACACTGCAAAAATAACCTATTTTTAAAACATTACGAAGCTTCCAGAAGGGTTTCACATACTTGTCTTTGATTCTATCTAGTTTTTTTGTTAGGTTGTTTCATAAAACTATAGTTGATTTTCACACATCCTAACAATAATACATGAATCTACAAAAATCTAGAATCGCCTGTGTCTAGGGGAATGGATGACCCTGGGGGAGGCGATAAAAATAATTTATTAAGCTAGAGATTCCATGGTTAATTGTTAGAGAAGGAATGTAACTGAGCTTCTCGGCATTTTTTTTTTCTTATATGCATTGGGAATCTCATAAAGGGGAAGATTTACAATAGAATTACAACATTTTATTTTTTAATTTATTTATATATTTTTACATCATTGTTCATTTTTAAACAATTTTTGCTTCCCCTCCCTCAGGTGTAGTCCCCATAGAATTTCCTTCACCAATGCACCCGTGCACCATCACCTCAGTCCCCTGTGCTCCTCCCTCCCTCCCTCTAATCCCTCTCCCTCCTCCTCCCCTGCAGGATGTCTCTGGTTTATAATTGTCTGTTTTGTTGTGTTTTGTATTGTTATTATTTTTTCCCCTGATGTTTTATTTGGTTCCGCTATATTCCTCCTATAAGTGAAACCATCCAAATTTTTTTTCTTCTGATTTATTTCACTGAGCATAATTCCTTCTAGCTCCATCCATGTTGCTGTGAATGGCATCAGTTTATTTTTTTTTGATTGCTGAATAGTATTTCACCTGGGATTACATCAAACTGAAAAGCCTCTGTACAGCAAAGGAGACATTAACCAAAACACAGAGATATCCCACTTATTGGGAAAAAAATCTTTGCACTCCATATAACTGATAAAGGACTGATCAAAGATATACAAAGATATACGAAGAACTCATGTGACTCAACAAAATCAAAGTAAACAATCCAGTCAAGAAATGGACAGAAGTACTTAAAAGATGCTTCTCCAAAGAGGAAATGTAAATGCCAACAGGCATATGAAAAAATGTTCAACATCCCTTATAATCAGGGAAATGCAAATCAAAACCACAATGAGATATCACCTTATACCAGTAAGAATGGCACATATCAGAAAAACTAGCAACAGCAAATGTTGGCGAGGATGTGATGAAAAAGGAACTCTCCTACATTGCTGGTGGGAGTGCAAACTGGTCCAACCACTATGGAAAGCTGTGTGGAGGTCCCTCAGACTGCTAAAAATGGAGCTACCATATGACCAGGCAATTCCACTCCTAGGGATCTACCCAAAGGACACAAAGACACTGATTCAAAAAAATACCTGTACCCCTATGTTTATTGCAGCACTATTTATAATAGGTAAAAACTGAAAACAACCTAAATGCCCAAAAATAGATGTCTGTATCAAGAAGATGTGGTATATATACACAATGGAATTACAACATTTTAAAACGGCTTGACCACTGAAAATTCTCCTTATCCAATTGCTAGTTTTAAAGAAGGTAGAGAGCATTGTGGGGAGGATCCTGAAATAAACATCTCCTCTGATTTTAAAATTTTATGTTTTCTGAAATCCACAACATTTTTTTTCATCTAAAGTTTACTTAGGTTTGTAAGATATCTAGGACATAGTTAAAGTTAATGAAATAGTACAATCAAACACATCAATATTTAAGTTTTAAATTTTTATTTTAATTTATATTTGTATTTCTTGTTATACTATTAGTATAATTATTCAACATATTTTAAAGACTTCATAAATTCAGTAAGATAAAAGTAACCCTTATCATAATTCACAAACTTAAAATGTTTCTAGGCCTGATTTTAAGGACAGAGAGCATTTGTTTTCATATAAATTTCACATAAAACAATAAGACACAAATGATATTTCAATTTTTACAGTAAATTGACCACAATTTACAAATTATTTTTATGCTCTAAATTCTTTAATTTTTTTTTATGGTTTTCAGATATTTTGCTTGCATTTTATCTAGCATTTATATCCTTTTCTATTGTTG